CCATTTAAACTCAGTTTTTCACAATTCCTGACATTTAATCAAATAATAGTAGAGAGAATGATTTATTTCAGCTTTTATTTCTTTCATCACATTCCCAGTGGGTCAGAAGTTTACATACACTCAATTAGTATTTGGTAGCATTGCCTTTAAAATTGTTTAACTTGGGTCAAACGTTTTGGCTAGCCTTCCACAAGCTTCCCACAATAAGTTGGGTAAATTTTGGCCCATTCCTCCTGACAGAGCTGGTGTAACGGAGTCGGGTTTGTAGGCCTCCTTGCTCGCACACGCTTTTTCAGTTCTGCCCACAAATGTTCTATAGGATTGAGGTCAGGGCTTTGTAATGGCTACTCCAATACCTTGACTTTGTTGTCCTTAAGCCATTTTGCCACAACTTTGGAAGTATGCTTGGGGTCATTGTCCATTTGGAAGACCCATTTGCAACCAAGCTTTAACTTCCTGACTGATGTCTTGAGATGTTGCTTCAATATATCCACATAATTTTCCTTCCTCATGATGCCATCTATTTTGTGAAGTGCACCAGTCCCTCCTGCAGCAAAGCACCCTCACAGCAGGATGCTGCCACCCCCATGTTTGACGGTTGGGATGGTGTTCTTCGGCTTGCAAGTGTCCCCCTTTTTCCTCCAAACATAACGATGGTCATTATGGGCAAACAGTTCTATTTTTGTTTCATCAGACTAGAGGACATTTCTTCAAAAAGTATGATCTTTGTCCCCATGTGCAGTTGCAAACCGTAGTCTGGCTTTTCTATGGCGGTTTTGGAGCAGTGGCTTCTTCCTTGCTGAGCGGCCTTTCAGGTTATGTCGATATAGGACTTGTTTTACTGTGGATATACCTGTTTCCTCCAGCATCTTCACAAGGTCCTTTGCTGTTGTTCTGGGATTGATTTGCACTTTTCGCACCAAAGTACGTTCATCTCTAGGAGACAGAACGAGTCTCCTTCCTGAGCGGTATGATGGCTGCGTGGTCCCATGGTGTTTATACTTGCGTACTATTGTTTGTACAGATGAACGTGGTACCTTCAGGCGTTTGGAAATTGCTCCCAAGGATGAATCAGACTTGTGGAGGTCTACAATGTTTTTTCTGAGGTCTTGGCTGATTTCTTTTGATTTTCCCATGATGTCAAGCAAAGAGGCACTGAGTTTGAAGGTAGGCCTTGAAATACATCCACAGGTACACCTCCAATTGACTCAAATGATGTCAATTAGCCTATCAGAAGCTTCTAAAGCCATGACATCATTTTCTGGAATTTTCCAAGTTGTTTAAAGGCACACTTAGTGTATGTAAACTTCTGACCCACTGGTATTGTGATACAGTGAATTATAAGTGAAATAATCTGTCTGTAAACAATTGTTGGAAAAATTACTTGTGTCATGCACAAAGTAGACTTGCCAAAACTATAGTTTGTTAACAAGAAATTTGTGTAGTGGTTGAAAAACGAGTTTTAATGACTCCAACGTACAGTGAGGGGAAAAAAGTATTCGATCCCCTGCTGATTTTGTACGTTTGCCCACTGACAAAGAAATGATCAGTCTATAATTTCAATGGTAGGTTTATTTGAACAGTGAGAGACAGAATAACAACAAAGAAATCCAGAAAAACGCATGTCAAAAATGTTATAAATTGATTTGCATTTTAATGAGGGAAATAAGTATTTGACCCATCTGCAAAACATGACTTAGTACTTGGTGGCAAAAACCTTGTTGGCAGTCACAGAGGTCAGACGTTTCTTGTAGTTGGCCACCAGGTTTGCACACATCTCAGGAGGGATTTTGTCCCACTCCCCTTTGCAGATCTTCTCCAAGTCATTAAGGTTTTGAGGCTGACGTTTGGCAACTTGATCCTTCAGCTCCCTCCACAGATTTTCTATGGGATTAAGGTCTGGAGACTGGCTAGGCCACTCCAGGACCTTAATGTGCTTCTTCTTGAGCCACTCCTTTGTTGCCTTGGCCGTGTGTTTTGGGTCATTGTCATGCTGGAAAACCCATCCAGGACCCATTTTCAATGCCCTGGCTGAGGGAAGGAGGTTCTCACCCAAGATTTGACGGTACATGGCCCCGTCCATCGTCCCTTTGATGCGGTGAAGTTGCCCCTTAGCAGAAAAACACCCCCAAAGCATAACGTTTCCACCTCCATGTTTGACGGTGGGGATGGTGTTCTTGGGGTCATAGGCAGCATTCCTCCTCCTCCAAACACGGCGATTTGAGTTGATGCCAAAGAGCTCCATTTTGTTCTCATCTGACCACAACACTTTCACCCAGTTCTCCTCTGAATCATTCAGATTTTCATTGGCAAACTTCAGACGGGCATGTATATGTGCTTTCTTGAGCAGGGGGACCTTGCGGGTGCTGCAGGATTTCAGTCCTTCACGGCGTAGTGTGTTACCAATTGTTTTCTTGGTGACTATGGTCCCAGCTGCCTTGAGATCATTGACAAGAGCCTCCTGTGTAGTTCTGGGCTGATTCCTCACCGTTCTCATGATCATTGCAACTCCTCGAGGTGAGATCTTGCATGGAGCCCCAGGCCGAGGGAGATTGACAGTTATTTTGTGTATCTTCCATTTGTGAATAATCGCACCAACTGTTGTCACCTTATCACCAAGCTGCTTGGCGATGGTCTTGTAGCCCATTCCAGCCTGGTGTAGGTCTACAATCTTGTCCCTGACATCCTTGGAGAGCTCTTTGGTCTTGGCCATGGTGGAGAGTTTGGAATCTGATTGATTGATTGATTCAGTGGACAGGTGTCTTTTATACAGGTAACAAACTGAGATTAGGAGCACTCCCTTTAAGAGTGTGCTCCTAATCTCAGCTCGTTACCTGTATAAAAGACACTTGGGAGCCAGAAATCTTTCTGATTGAGAGGGGGTCAAATACTTATTTCCCTCATTAAAATGCAAATCAATTTATAACATCTTTGACATGCTTTTTTCTGGATTTTTTTGTTGTTATTCTGTCTCTCACTGTTCAAATAAACCTACCATTAAAATTATAGACTGATCATTTCATTGTCAGTGGGCAAACGTACAAAATCAGCAGGGGATCAAATACTTTGTTCCCTCACTGTAAGTGTATGTGAACTTCCGACTTCAACTGTATATCATATTTTACATTTGTGTGACTGTACTTGTCTATCAGTGTTTTGTTACTTGTCGTGTTTGATGTTTTTGTGTGGACCCCAGGAAGAATAGCTGCTGCTTTGGCAAAAGTTAATGGGGATCCCAATAAACCAATAATCATATCAGGATTTCTAGGACAAAGTCTGAGTTATTCAGTTGAGTTAAAGTCAGGACACAGCCTGAGCTCAACTGCCTTGCCATTCATCATGCAGTAGTCAACACACACTCAGTGCCAACTCAAATTGCTGAGCAGTTTGCTTGCTATAACAATGAGTCATCGTTGTTGCTGTTGGGATATTTCACATGGGTGTATAAAGAATTATGGTCAGCATTCATGATTAATTGCCCATCCTAAAATATGTTCTTAGTAGTTATCACTTTCAATTCTCCATTTGTCTGTTTTCAAATCATTCACTCACTAAAACGTTGCATATATGGATTTTGGATGAAATATATGCAAGGATTGTAGATTAGATTAGGGACTGTTGTGTTTCTACATCCAACGTTAGTAGTTTAGTCCCTGTAGGACTATATTGTAGCAGCTGCTGAGCTACTTCTTTCACTTCTGACTTTCTTGTCTTATCATTCCATTATTATGAGCCGTTCTCCCCTCAGCAGCCTCCACTGACATAAAGACATTAGGCCTACATTTTGTCTTGGTTTTGTCCATCAGTGGTTCCACACTGTCTCCAGAAAGAACAGGGTCAAATAAGTAAGAATTGAATGATTTTAGACCAACTAAAAACCCGGAATAAATTATTACACATAGTCATCTTGTCCTTGGGTTTTACACTCTTCAGGTTAGGGGTGTACAGTGCAGCCAGCCAGTGTCCTCCTCTCTTACAAGAAGCAACCATCTGAGAGCACACTCGGGCCATCTGACTCCACCTGGTGGTGACAAGTGGTACTACAGAAACAATATAAAATCAATACCATGAAACATTGACAACATTTTAGACATATTGAATGTTTTTATTGACAAGGATGAAATTCCAGTTCAACTACTGTACAGTGTGGGCTACTCATTATTTTAAGTGATTAACCCCCCCCCCCCCCCCCTCCTAAACAGCAGAGAAGTATTCAGTATTTATGTGCAAAAACAAATTGGGGTCCAGCAGCAAAGTTTCCTACAGTACAGAAGTGCTTACAGTAACATAATAACCCAGTCTGCATCACAAATGACACCCTATCCCCTATACAGTGTAATACTTTTGAACAGGGTCCATAAGGGTCTGTTTAAAAGTAGTGCACTATGCAGGGAATAGGGTGCCATTTCAGACGCAAAAAAAGTAGTGTCCACATGGAGCTCAACATGTATGAGTGAAACACTATGTTTTAATACTGAATATTGTATAATAATAACGCAAGTCAAATCAATTTGGAGGCAAATGCATAGTAAAACATGATTGATCTAAGACAGGGCTGCCCAACCCTCTTCCTAGAGATCTACTGTCCTGTAGGTTTTCAGTCCAACCCTAATTTAGCATATCTGATTCGCATATCTGATTCAGCTAGTTAAGGTCTTGTTGAGCAGCTAATAAGTAGAATCAGGTGTGTTAAATTAGGGTTGGACTGAAAACCCACAGGACGGTAGATCTCAGGAAGAGGGTTGGGCAGCCATGATCTATGACATCACTGTGCAGTGTTCGCTACACAATTCATAATGTCATTCTTCAATCCATAGTCTGATTGGACCAGAATCAATGTGATCATTAATACACTGAAAAGGTGTTTTATGACACTTAATTATCACCTCTAGACCTAGACCAATTGTACTCAGTAGCTACAGTATATCTCCCCCACTCAGGAGTACCCAGCACCCTTGTGCTGTATAGCCTATGGTCGTTGTGGAGTTGGCTATACAGAACAAACAGATCTGGGACCAGGCTTACTCAAAAGGGGCCTTAAAGCTTAAATGCTCTTGTTTAAATTAAGATAATGTACAGGATTACCGGTGTCGGTGTGGTGCAAAAGACAGCAGAGAACACTGGCACAAAACTGTGAAAAGTGTCCTTTTTGCCCTCTTAAAGGGGTTTCCATGCATTATCTAACACCTACTGTACATACACACAGGAGTACTGCAAGGTGGGGTTGGTTACTGGTGTACAGCACAGCCGGTGTACTCTATACAGCCTTCTCTATTGTATTTCACAAGTTCCTTTTTTCTTTCTTTCAAGAAACCAGGCGTCTTTTGACATGCTTGAGATTGTGGCGTTGTTTCTGCGGTGGTGGTTGCGTTTCTGTCAGGTCACGTCTCGACCTTGGTCCGGGGAGTGTGGACCGTCTTCACCACCTTGGCGCTGCTCCTTACGTCACGCTCTATGATCTCTGACAGCAGGGTGTCTTTAGATCCGTACTTCTTCTGGAAAACAACACATGACAACAAACACATCGTTTTGAATATCAATGCTGGGAGATGAATTAACCAGAGTTTGTGGTAATAAAAGCTAGTATTGTATTTAATACGTGTAGCACTGCCATTCAAAGGAAATAATCACCCCACTACACGCTTGCAAAGTATCACTTTTATTAATTGCGAAGATTTCTGCCTCACAGCCTTCGTCAGAGCTTGTACGTGTGGCATTGACCAAAAAGTGGCAGAAAAAAGGGTCTGTCACTGACCTGAGAGGGGGTGGAGCTGGAACCTGGGATGTCTGCTGTGCGTGTCACAGGTAAGGGGGGAACCAGGTCTGTCCGGGCGCTGGGGAGAGGGTAGAGATGTGTTAGATGTCGGAAGACATAAGCAGGGTTACACTTTAATCATACTATATTATTTATGAAGCATACAGTCGCTTCCATTATCATGTCTCAAGGTGCTGAACAATACAGGAAAGAACCATCAGCATCAAGCAACCATACAATAACTAGACTAGAGACGGGATTTCATTTGACGAACGTTGCAGTGCCCTTGACATTTAAAGGTAGTATGCGATTGGGCAGACATTTGCAGCGTTTACCGTGAATGTAATCTCTGCGAACGTCGGGAACATTGCCTTTACACATTGTCGGCAGCATTCTACGATGCGCCTCAGATTGTATCCCAGCCTAGAGACATTAATAAGAGCTCCACCACACTACTGTCACTATGTAAATGTAAAGTTTCTGGTGAGACTCTGAAGAGTGAAAAACCATAAGATCTGTCCTGAGACCAGTTTAGACTCACTTGACCTCAGAGAGCACGGACCTCTCCCCTTCGGAGCACTGGGAGCGTCGGTACTGACGGAAACTCCGGGGGGAATGAGAGTGCCGGATTTTGATTGGGTCTCCTTGGGTTCTGGAAGGAAGGATGAACATAGAATCCTTCACTTCATCTCATGTGTAGGACAGTAGGCCTACCTTTCATTTAGCCCAGTGGAATATAAGCCCACTCCATACTGAATCCATCAGCTTCAGAGGCGGTGAGATATAATTAAATAGAGCATAATGTATCTCTACAGGGAGCAGTAGATTTACATGTGACCCTACAGGGACGACTATGAAAATGCCAGACTCAGTCATTCAAGTTATGTAAGGGAAACATTTCAGTCTGGCTGTGAATCTCTTATCTTCTTATCCAAGTGCAGATCAACAGACCCTACCCCAATGTACTGACTGAGCATGCTCCATTCATTATAGACCTGTCTGATTATAATATAGACCTGTCTGATTATCATATTATCATAACTGTCTTATTATCATATAGACCTGTCTGATTACCATATTGACTGGTCTGATTATCATATAGTGCTGTCTGATTATCATAACGGTCTGATTATCATATTGACCAGTCTGATTATCATATATACCTGTCTGATTATCATATTATCATAACTGTCTGATTACCATATTGACCTGTCTGATTATCATATTGACCTGTCTGATTATCATATATACCTGTCTGATTATCATATTATCATAGCTGTCTGATTATCATATTGACCTGTCTGATTATCATATTGACCTGTCTGATTATCATATATACCTGTCTGATTATCATATTATCATAACTGTCTGATTATCATATTGACCTGTCTGATTATCATATTGACCTGTCTGATTATCATATTATCATAACTTTCTGATTATCAGTTATTGGCAGACTAAATAGCCTTGGTTTCTCAAATGACTGTCTCGCCTGGTTCACCAACTACTTCTCAGATAGAGTTCAATGTGTAAAATCGGAGGGCCTGTTGTCTGGACCTCTGGCAGTCTCTATGGGGGTGCCACAGGGTTCAATTCTCGGGCCGACTCTATTCTTTGTGTATATCAATGATGTCGCGCTTGCTGCTGGTAACTCTCAGATCCACCTCTACGCAGACGACACCATTTTGTATACATCTGGCCCTTCATTGGACACTGTGTTAACAAACCACCAAACGAGCTTCAATGCCATACAACACTCCTTCCGTAGCCTCCAACTGCTCTTAAACGCTAGTAAAACTAAATGCATGCTCTTCAATCGAACGCTGCTTGCACCCGCCCGCCCGACTAGAATCACTACTCTCGGCGGGTCTGACTTAGAATATGTGGACAACTACAAATACCTAGGTGTCTGGTTAGACCGTAAACTCTCCTTCCAGACTCATATTAAGCATCTCCAATCCAAAGTTAAATCTAGAATCGGCTTCCTATTTTGCAACAAAGCCTCCTTCACTCATGCTGCCAAACATGCCCTCGTAAAACGGACTATCCTACCGATCCTTGACTTCGGCGATGTCATTTACAAAATAGCCTCCAACACTCTACTCAGCAAATTGCATGTAGTCTATCACAGTGCCATCCGTTTTGTCACCTTAGCCCCATATACTACCCACCATTGTGACCTGTACGCTCTTGTTGGCTGGCCCTCACTACATATTAGTCGCCAAACCCACTGGCTCCAGGTCATCTATAAATCACTGCTAGGCAAATTATCTTATCTTAGCTCATCGGTCACCATAGCAACACCCACCAGTATTATGCGCTCCAGCAGGTATATCTCACTGGTCATCCCCAAAGCCAACACCTCCTTTGGCCGCCATTCCTTCCAGTTCTCTGCTGCCAATGACTGGAACGAACTGCAAAAATCTCTGAAGCTGGAGACTCTTATCTCCCTCACTAACTTTAAGCATCAGTTGTCAGAGCAGCTTACCGATCACTGCACCTGTACACAGCCCATCCAACTACCTCATCCCCATATTGTTATTTATTTTGCTCATTTGCACTCCAGTATCTCTATTTGCACATCATCTTCTGCACATCTATCACTCCAGTGCACTATGGCCTATTTATTGCCTTACCTCCATAACTTACAACATTTGACTGTACGTTTTGTTTATTTACATTTTAGTCATTTCGCAGACGCTCTTATCCAGAGTGACTTACAGTTAGTGAGTGCATACATTCCCTCCCCTACCCTGGACGACGCTGGGCCAATTGCGCGCCGCCCCATGGGTCTCCCGGTCGCGGCCGGCTACGACAGAGCCCGGATTTGAACCAGGATCTCTAGTGGCACAGCTAGCACTGCGATGCAGTGCCTTAGACCACTGCGCCACTCGGGAAACCCACTCTGTAACCCACTCTGTATCTCTGTGTTGTTGTTGTTTTTAAATCGCACTGCTTTGCTTTATCTTGGCCAGGTCGCAGTTGTAAATGAGAACTTGTTCTCAACTGGCTTACCTGGTTAAATAAAGGTTAAATAAAAAATATTCCTGTCTGATTATCATATTATCATAACTGTCTGATTATAATATATACCTGTCTGATTATGATATTATCTTAACTGTCTGATCATCATATTGTCCTGTCTGATTATGATTTTGACCTGTCTGATTATCATATATAAAAATGTTCATCCTTAAAATGTACAGACTATCTAATCTAATGAGGAAGGGAGGAGCAGTCACTCACTCCACTTTCTTGTAGGGGATCTCCTTCAGCTGTTCCTCTGTTAGATCAGGAGCAGGGTCCACCAGCTCCTTCCTGTAGGAACACAACCACCAGGGTATGTTACAATTATCTTCCCATATCACTGGAGAAAAGGCTGTGCATACTGGTTTCAACAACCTTTGAAGGCTGTGTTAGTACATACTTTTCAATAGTATACACTCTTTATGAATAGTTATCAACTATTAGTCATGGTTAGTCAAGTTATTATAGTTTTACACCTTTAACTTTCCATAACACAGGAAAAAAGGCCTATTGGTCACATTTTATTTGGAGAGTCCATCTGTAGGTCATACTATCAACAAACTATCTGTTGATAAGCAACTGCTTGCTAAGGTTAGGGTGAGGGTAAGGTTTAGAATAAGGTTTGGTTAGGGTTAGGGTTAGGGCTACAGTAGGTTAAGGGTTATGTTTAGGGTTAGAATAAACCATATTACATCTACATAAAACACCTGGAAGGCTGGAACATACAGTTGAACTCTGAAGTTTACATACACCTCAGCCAAATACATTTAAACTCAGTTTTTCACAATTCCTGACATTTAATCCTAGTAAAAATTCCCTGTTTTAGGTCAGTTAGGATGACCACTTTATTTTAAGAATGTGAAATGTCAGAATAATAGTAGAGAGAATGATTTATTTAAGCTTTTATTTCTTTCATCACATTCCCAGTGGGTCAGAAGTTTACATACACTCAATTAGTATTTGGTAGCATTGCCTTTAAAATTGTTTAACTTGGGTCAAACGTTTCGGCTAGCCTTCCACAAGCTTCCCACAATAAGTTGGGTGAATTTTGGCCCATTCCTCCTGACAGAGTTGGTTTAACTGAGTCGGGTTTCTAGGCCTCCTTGCTCGCACACGCTTTTTCAGTTCTGCCCACAAATGTTCTATAGGATTGAGGTCAGGGCTTTGTGATGGCCACTCCAATACCTTGACTTTGTTGTCCTTAAGCCATTTTTTTCCAGCATCTTCACAAGGTCCTTTGCTGTTGTTCTGGGATTGATTTGCACTTTTCGCACCACAGTACGTTCATCTCTAGGAGACAGAACGAGTCTCCTTCCTGAGCGGTATGACGGCTGCGTGGTCCCATGGTGTTTATACTTGCATACTATTGTTTGTACAGATGAATGTGGTACCTTCAGGCGTTTGGAAATTGCTCCCAAGAATGAACCAGACTTGTGGAGGTCTACCATTTTTTTTCCTGAGGTCTTGGCTGATTTTTTTTTATTTTCCCATGATGTCAAGCAAAGAGGCACTGAGTTTGAAGGTAGGCCTTGAAATACATCCACAGGTACACCTCCAATTAGCCTATCAGAAGCTTCTAAAGTCATTTTCTGGAATTTTCCAAGTTGTTTAAAGGCACCGTCAACTTGGTGTATGTAAACTTCTGACCCACTGGAATTGTGATACAGTGAATTATAAGTGAAATAATCTGTCTGTAAACAATTGTTGGAAAAATTACTTGTGTCATGCACAAAGTAGATGTCCTAACCGACTTGCCAAAACGATAGTTTGTTAACAAGAAATGTGTGTAGTGGTTGAAAAAATAGTTTTAATGACTCCAACGTAAGTGTATGTAAACTTCCGAATTCAACTGTACAGTCCAACCATGGAGCGGGTCGAGAGCTTCAAGTTCCTTGGTGTCCACATCACTAAGGACTTAAAATGGTCCACACCTGCACAGCCATGAAGAAGGCGTGACAGTGCCCCTTCCCCCTCAGGAGGTTGAAAAGGTTTGGCATGGGCCCTCAAATCTTCAAAAGGTTCTACAGCTGTACCAGTGAGAGCATCTTGACTGGCTGCATCACTGCTTGGTATGACAATAGCACCGCCCTCGATTCCATGGCGCTACAGAGGGTGGTGCAGTATATCACTGGGGCCAAGCTCCCTGGTAGCGCTCACCTTGTCTTCTCCGGACAAGCTTTTTTCCGGATGCCCCAAACAATCATCAGAGAAAATGACTTTACCCCAGTCCTCAGCAGTCCAATCCCTGTACCTTTTGCAGAATATCAGTCTGTCCCTGATGTTTTTCCTGGAGAGAAGTGGCTTCCTCGCTGCCCTTCTTGACGCCAGGCCATCCTCCAAAAGTCTTCGCCTCACTGTGCGTGCAGATACTCACACCTGCCTGCTGCCATTCCTGAGCAAGCTCTGCACTGGTGGTTCCCCGATCCCGCAGCTGAATCAACTTTAGGAGACGGTCCTGGCGCTTGCTGGACTTTCTTGGGCGCCCTGAAGCCTTCTTCACAACAATTGAACCTCTCTCCTTGAAGTTCTTGATGATCCGATAAATTGTTGATTTAGGTGCAATCTTACTAGCAGCAATATCCTTGCCTGTGAAGCCCTTTTTGTGCAAAGCAATGATGACGGCACGTGTTTCCTTGCAGGTAACCATGGTTAACAGAGGAAGAACAATCATTTCAAGCACCACCCCCTTTTAAAGCTTCCAGTCTGTTATTCTAACTCAATCAGCATGGTAGAGTGATCTTCAACCTTGTCCTCGTCAACACTCTCACCTGTGTTAACGAGAGAATCACTGACATGATGTCAGCTGGTCCTTTTGTGGCAGGGCTGGAATGCAGTGGAAATGTTTTTTTTCATGGCAAAGAGGGACTTTGCAATTAATTGCAATTCATCTGATCATTCTTCATAACATTCTGGAGTATATGCAAATTGCCATCATAAAAACTGAGGCAGAAGACTGTGAAAATTAATATTTGTGTCATTCTCAAAACTTTTGACCACGACTGTACACACAATACCCCATAATGACAAAGCAAAAACATGTTTCTAGAAACTTTTCAAATGTATTAAAAATAAAAAACTTAAATATCACATTTACATAAGTATTCAGACCCTTTGTTGTTGGGGACCGTCAAAGCTGCAGACATTTTTTGATACCCTTCCCCAGATCTGTGCCTCGACACAATCCTGCCTCGGAGCTCTACGGACAATTCCTTCGACCTCATGGCTTGGTTTTTGTTCTGACATGCACTGTCAACTGTGGGACCTTATATAGACAGGTGTGTGCCTTTCCAAATCATGTCCAATCAATTGAATTTACCACAGGTGGACTCCAATCAAGTTGTAAAAACATCTCAAGGATGATCAATGGAAACATGATGCACCTGAGCTCAATTTCGAGTGTCATAGCAAAGGGTCTGAATACTTATGTAAATAAGGTATTTCTGTTTTTTATTTTTAATAAATGTGCAAACATTTCTAACAACCTGTTTTCGCTTTGTCATTATGGGGTATTGTGTGTAGATTGATGAGGAAAACATTTAATTGAATCCATTTTAGAATAAGGCTGTAATGTAACAAAATTTAGAAAACGTTGTGGGTTCTGAATACTTTCTGAATGCACTGTACATTTATACTGACTCTACACACCCACGCACCCACAATTATCATATACGCTGCTGCTACTCTGTTTATCATATATCCTGATGCCTAGTCACCTTACCCAAATTTTACATTTTAGTCATTTAGCAGACGCTCTTATCCAGAGCGACTTACAGTTAGTGAGTGCATACATTTTTCATTTTTCATACTGGCCCCCCGTGAGTGCCATGCTCTACCAACTGAGCTACACGGGGCCCTATAAAGTGGTAACTGCTTATTTCTAGAAGACCACTGTTAAACCTCATAAATGGAGTCTATCACTTACTGGATGTGCCTCCACAGCTGCTCTTTAGCCTGCACATCTGGACTCCGCCTGGAACAAATCACAGAATTACCGGGGTTAATAGTTGAAGGGTTATTTATAAGATGGACCATCTGATAAGGAGAGTTATGGAAATGAATGGAAATGCTTCCCTCTGTGTGTCTGGAAATTGAGGAGATGAAATTGACCCAAGCTTAAGGCATTGTTCCAGGTCGGAGGTGGGGGTCTCTAGCACAGGGAGGAGAGGGAAGGAGGGTGTGTGTGACGTGTGTGAGTGTGGTTGTGGTTGTCTTACGATCGAGAACGGTGTCGTGAGCGGCGGTGGTTTGGGTCTTTCTGAGACCTCTCTTTCTGACGGCAGAGCACGGCTTCCCACTGAGGACCAGAGTCCACCATCTCATTCTCCTGACGAGATCTGGAATATAATATAATATTATTTTTGTATTGTAATATCATATAGAAGTATTATATGCCAGTATATTATAAATATACAGCATAACCATATTACTTCTACATAAAAGACCTGGAAGGCTGGAACATACAGTCCAACCATGTTACATCTACACAGACAGGTACAGAGATGACAGTATGGTTGCAGCTTGCAACTAACTGACACATGATAGATTCACACTCAAAGGACCTTGTGTTCTCAGAGCATACGCAGAACAGCTGGCAGGCATATTCACGGTCATTTTCAACCTCTCCTTGTCCCAGTCTGTAATCCCCACATGTTTTAAAATGAGCACTGTCATTCCTGTTCCTCTAACTCTAAGGATTCATGACTGAATGACTACCGCCCTGTAGCACTCACATCTGTAATCATGAAGTGCTTTGAGAGGCTGGTTATGGCACACATTACCTCCACCATCCCAGCCACCCTAGACCAACTCCAATTTGCATACCGCCCCAACAGATCCATAGACGACGCAATTTCAATTGCACTCCACACTGCCCTCACCCACCTAGATAAGAGGAATACCTATACGAGAATGCTGTTCATTCACTACAGCTCAGCGTTCCAAACCATTGTCCCTTCCAAGCTCGTCACCAAGCTTAAGACCCTGGGACTGAACACCTCCCTCTGCAACTGGATCCTGGACACCTTGACGGGCCGACCCTAGGTGTTGACGGTAGGCACTATCACCTCCGCCACGCTGACCCTCAACACGGGGGCCCCACAGGGGTGCGTGCTTAGTCCCGTCCTGTACTCCCTGTTCACCCACGACTGCGTGGCCACGCACGAGTCCAACACCATCATCAGGTTTGCTGACGACACAACAGTGGTAGGCCTGATCACCATAATTAAATAGCTAACTAAATAGCTACACAGATTATCTGATTATTGTCTCTATGCAGATTATTGTCTCTATGCACACTCCCCGGGCCCTACACACTCCCAGGGCCCTACACATTCACAGGACCCTACACACTCCCAGGGCCCTACACATTCACAGGACCCTACACACTCCCAGGGCCCTACACATTCACAGGGCCCTACATACTCACAGGGCCCTACACATTCACAGGACCTACACACTCACAGGACCCTACACATTCACAGGGCCCTACACACTCACAGGACCCTACACACTCACAGGGCCCTACACACTCACGCAAACTGTCACTCCAACACACACACACACACAAACACTCACTCCATAATTTGCTCACACTAACATAATATGCACATACATTTATACTGACTCTACACACCCACTCACATTCAATCTTCATATACGCTGCTGCTACTCTGTTTATCATATATCCTGATGCCTAGTCACCTTACCCCTATACATATCTACCTCTATCACTCCAGTATCCCTGCACATTGTAAATATGGTACTAGAACTGACTGACCTGTACACTGAGTATACAAAACATTAAGAACGCCTGCTTTTTCCATGACATAGACTGACCAGGTGAATCCAGGTGAAAGCTATGATCCCTTATTGATGTCACTTGTTAAATCCAGTTCCATCAATGTAGATGAAGGGGAGGAGACAGGTTAAAGAAGGATTTTTAAGCCTTGAGACAATTGAGACTTGGATTTTGTGTGTGCCATTTCAGAGGGTGAATGGGCAAGACAAAAAAATGTAAGTGCCTTTGAACGGGGTATGGTAGTAAATGCCAGGCGCACCGGTTTGTGTCAAGAACTGCTGCTGGGTTTTTCATTTACATTTTAGTCATTTAGCAGACGCTCTTATCCAGATAGTGAGTGCATAAATGTTTTATTAAAAAATAAATAAAATATTATACTGGCAACCGTGTGTATCAAGAATGGTCCACCACCCAAAGGACATCCAGCCAACTTGACACAACTGTGGGAAGCATTGGAGTAAACATGTGCCAGCATCCCTGTGGAACACTTTCAAAACCTTGTACAGTCCATGCCCCGATGAATTGAGGCTGTTCTGAGGGCAAAAGGTGTTCCTAATGTTTGGTATACTCAGTGTATATAGTATGCTTACTTACTTTCTCGTGTTTTTCTTATTTTTATTTCTTGTGTGTTTTTGTTCTACCTTGTTATTTTTAGTATAACATTGTTATTGATTACTGAATTGTTGGGATTAGAGCTTGCAAAAAAGGCATTTCACTGTCCTTGTGCATGTGATATTAAAACTTGGAAAAACGATATTGTACATACAGTAGTACATCACCATTTTACACTGTCACAACAGATAGCAACAGGATTTCCAGGAAATATAGTCTCCCATTTCCTTCCTCATTCCTTTGCTCCATCATGTGGTGAGACATTCAGACATTTGAGGCTGTCTATAGTGTATCATATGACCCAGCTAGGGAACCATTGTGGGTCTCAATAAGATATAGTTTCATTCAGAGGACAATAGCACCCTGATGATATGCTTTATTTCTTCAATACATACGTCCCCTACAGACACTGGCTTAGGAAAATAGTAGTCTTGGGAGCAATACCCCCATATGAAACAGTTGTAGCTTAGTAGTTTACTATAGAATGGCTGTCTCCTTTGAGCAATATTACTATGTACTTGTAGCGATACTACTATGTGCTAAATATGAGGTAGTAGTAGTGTTTTACTATATACCTTTATTCTGTATATTTAATGGCTGTATGTACAGGTATGTTTCCTTGTAGGGAAAGCAGAGTGACATCACTCACCGGTTCCTCTTTTTACGATGCTCCCGGGTGGAGTTCTCGGACTCGCTGCCACTACTGGTGTTGCCACGGGAGCGTGACCTGCGGGTGGGCAGCGGTGAATAAAATGGGGTTAAAAGTTGACGAGGGGAAAATAAATGAGATGGAATGTTGTTTGTGTATGACCTGTCAGAGAGAGAGGACAAATGTTAACTTTTACTTTTAGAGAAATGACTCCAGGACTTAGCTAATGCAACTACTGACAAACAGAACCACACACTGAGTATATCATTATCTCTGTAGAGCTCCAACGGTGGATTTGTGGTGCTGCCACATTACAACACAGCACATAAATGACAATCTGGGCAAGTCACTGGGTTTATCTGACTTGTCTAAGTCAGTGTGGAACGTATGGATGTAAAGACGTGACCCTTTAGTTGCAGAGAGGACAGAGGTTCAGAACTGAAGAATTTAGTATGTAGTACTGTAAGCTAAAATTACCTCCTCTTCTGCTGATCGTTCTGGTTTGGGGGATCTGTTGGATCACTGGCATGGCCTTTCCTGAGGGATCATATCACAGAAGTTATTTCTGTCATGTTATTATCAGAGAGTCACTGTCATGTTGTTACTATTAGATATCAGAGAGTCACTGTCAGGTTACTGTTACAACTACTATTAAACAGGGAGGGTTGATGAGTTTGACATGCTTTAACCATCAACATAAACATTCATGACTCTGACTTAAAAGTGAGAGCATCTATCCAACCATGATTTATGCTAATCGGTATCTATTCAAAGAGAGTGCTTCATTGGCCACAAACCCTAGGGGCAATCTGAAATTCTGTATCTCTGCCCCACAACAGACACAGCCCAGACTAACCTTTATGAGTCATTCATATTAAAATAATATGAAAGTACATATCTTGTATTTGATTACTACAATGGCCTACTTCATATAAACATACTACTATGTGACCTTTGCAGTAGCTTCAGTACAGTATAGGCATCTTTATAAGGCAATTTAAACAGGGGTGTCTTCAAAATACATTTTTGGTAATTAACTGCTTGTTAGGAACAATTACCAGCTATTACAAGGTAAACATGTTATACAATATATTGTGCGTAATGCTAACGGAGGAGCTAGAACTGTACAGGCTCAACAGTTAGTTCCACATGACACCACTAGAAGGCAACATTATTCCATAGATGTACTTTTCAACTGGGAAATGACTGAAGGAGCAACAGCAGTGGATGTATTCTCCTGTCCTCTCCTCTTCTGCCAGTACCACTACCCGAGTCCTGTCCCCTCCCCTCCTCTTCTGCCACTACCTGAGTCCTGTCCCCTCCTCTTCTGCCACTACCTGAGTCCTGTCCCCTCCTCTTCTGCCACTACCTGAGTCCTGTCCCCTCCTCTTCTGCCACTACCTGAGTCCTGTCCCCTCCTCTTCTGCCAGTACCACTACCCGAGTCCTGTCCCCTCTCCTCCTCTTCTGCCACTACCTGAGTCCTGTCCCCTCCTCTTCTGCCACTACCTGAGTCCTGTCCCCTCCTCTTCTGCCACTACCTGAGTCCTGTCCCCTCCTCTTCTGCCACTACCCGAGTCCTGTCCCCTCGTCTTCTGCCACTACCTGAGTCCTGTCCCCTCCTCTTCTGCCACTACCTGAGTCCTGTCCCCTCCTCTTCTGCCACTACCCGAGTCCTGTCCCCTCCTCTTCTGCCACTACCCGAGTCCTGTCCCCTCCTCTTCTGCCACTACCTGAGTCCTGTCCCCTCCTCTTCTGCCACTACCCGAGTCCTGTCCCCACCTCTTCTGCCACTACCTGAGTCCTGTCCCCTCCTCTTCTGCCACTACCTGAGTCATGTCTCCTCCTCTTCTGCCACTACCCGAGTCCTGTCCCCTCCTCTTCTGCCACTACCCGAGTCCTGTCCCCTCCTCTTCTGCCACTACCCGAGTCCTGTCCCCTCCTCTTCTGCCACTACCCAAGTCCTGTCCCCTCCTCTTCTGCCACTACCCGAGTCCTGTCCCCTCCTCTTCTGCCACTACCCAAGTCCTGTCCCCTCCTCTTCTGCCACTACCCGAGTCCTGTCCCCTCCTCTTCTGCCACTACCCGAGTCCTGTCCCTCCTCTTCTGCCACTACCCGAGTCCTGTCCCCTCCTCTTCTGCCACTACCCGAGTCCTGTCCCCTCCTCTTCTGCCACTACCCGAGTCCTGTCCCCTCCTCTTCTGCCACTACCCGAGTCCTGTCCCCTCCTCTTCTGCCACTACCCGAGTCCTGTCCCCTCCTCTTCTGCCACTACCCGAGTCCTGTCCCCTCCTCTTCTGCCCCTATCCGAGTCCTGTCCCCTCCTCTTCTGCCCCTATCCGAGTCCTGTCCCCTCCTCTTCTGCCACTACCCGAGTCCTGTCCCCTCCTCTTATGCCACTACCTGAGTCCTGTCCCCTCCTCTTCTGTTACTACCCGAGTCCTGTCCCCTCCTCTTCTGCCACTATCCGAGTCCTGTCCCCTCCTCTTCTGCCACTACCCGAGTCCTGTCCCCTCCTCTTCTGCCACTACCCGAGTCCTGTCCCCTCCTCTTCTGCCACTACTTGAGTCCTGTCCCCTCCTCTTCTGCCACTACCCGAGTCCTGTCCCCTCCTCTTCTGCCACTACCCGAGTCCTGTCCCCTCCTCTTCTGCCACTACATGAGTCCTGTCCCCACCTCTTCTGCCACTACCTGAGTCCTGTCCCCTCCTCTTCTGCCACTACCTGAGTCCTGTCCCCTCCTCTTCTGCCACTACTTGAGTCCTGTCCCCTCCTCTTCTGCCACTACATGAGTCCTGTCCCCTCCCCTTCTGCCACTACCTGAGTCCTGTCCCCACCTCTTCTGCCACTACCTGAGTCCTGTCCCCTCCTCTTCTGCCACTACCCGAGTCCTGTCCCCTCCTCTTCTGCCACTACCTGAGTCCTGTCCCCACCTCTTCTGCCACTACCTGAGTCCTGTCCCCTCCTCTTCTGCCACTACCCGAGTCCTGTCCCCTCCTCTTCTGCTACTACCTTAGTCCTGTCCCCTCCTCTTCTGCCACTACCCGAGTCCTGTCCCCTCCTCTTCTGCTACTACCTTAGTCCTGTCCCCTCCTCTTCTGCCACTACCTTAGTCCTGTCCCCTCCTCTTCTGCCACTACCTGAGTCATGTCCCCTCCTCTTCTGCCACTACCTGAGGTTCACTTTCTACCTGCACAAGAGGCACAGCTGGTCAGACTATGGACAGTCCATATAACTGTCAGTTATTGGCAGCGGAGGTGGGTTGACAGGTGAAATGTTATAGGTTAGTTAGGTGAAGGGGACACACCTCTTCCAGCACAGGCAGAGGCGTCATGCCCATAGAGGGCACATGGGCACGTGCCCCCTCAGATTTGTCCTGTTGGTGTTTCTCTGTAATACTACTAGCCACCTAGGAATTTTATGAAGTTGGCTTTAGCTAGCCCAGATAGGTTCCCAATCTCCCAACCTCATAACTAGCTACCAAGAAGCCATTTCAGGCTATCAATCAAGTTAGAGTAGTTAGCTTGTCTAACTATCTTAACTGGCATGCCTGCTGGCAAGCTTGGTAGACTTTAGAAAAGCAAGCAATAACTAAATGTACTGAATAAGACTCACATTCCTTTCTATCTTTTACTCAGATTTTAGAAGAGATGCAGAGAAGCATATTTAGTTTATTTAAAACAATTACCACCAGTCAGGAGGATACAGACAGCTCAAGAGGTATGCTTAGATATGCAGAAAAATGAACATATTTTTTTACATAGAATTAAGCATAATGATTATGGCTCTAGATTGCAAGAAAAAGCTGTTTCAGGTGTTTTAAAAATGCAAGAATCTACCCTCCAGACCACCCCCCAGGCATCCTCACGTACTTTGGGCTCCCTCTGATTTTTGGGGTGTATGACCCCCCTGAGCACAGGATACACCTGGACAGTTGATGGACAGTACCAGTGTCAGCCTGCGATATTGGGAAGAGAGGTGAGATGGGTTGACATGTCATAGGTGAAAGGTCATAGGTGAAGGCTACACACCAGCGTCTGTTCTGGGATGTTTCGTTCTCGCTGCCTCCTGAAGGGGTGCGACCACGTGCCATGGGGAATTTGGGAGACTTGGTTCGCTGGTTGGCCGTGTTGTACAGTCCACTGGGGAGAAAAACAAGGAAACTTGATCAGAATTACCATCAGGACAGGCAGCTAACTGTCAGTAATACATACATTGATCTGTATAGTGAATGATCTGTTGGCAAAAACGAACTCCTAAGTATAGTCCTTAGACATCATGCTGATACAAACAACAACATTCCTCTCCACCTAGCCACAAGCACATTAGCACAGATATGTCAGTAAATGGCAGGATGATGACATCATAGTCTCAGAGGATACATCTAAATGCCAAGGGCAACAGGTCAGTGACACCAGGCCTCACACACACATCCTGTCTGTCTGCATTCATTGGCTTCACATAAGGCCCCTATTAGGCCCCTCTGACACACACACTCACACACACACACACACTCACACACACACACACACACACACACACACACACACACACACACACACACACACACACACACACACACACACACACACACACACACACACACACACACACACACACACTCACAAACACACACACACACACTCACAGCCCACTGAGAGGAAAAGAGGGAGCACATAGCAGCCCCAAGATAACAACACAAATCAATATGGAGATGAAATAATGTTGAAACCAGCTCATTGAAATGCAAATGGCCTTGGATAAAACTAAATTATCATCAGAAGACAGTGACTGTGTCTGAAATGGCACCCTATTCCCTATGTAGTGCACTAGTTTTCACAAGGGCTCTGGTCAAAAGCAGTACACTATGTAGGCAGCCATTTTGGAGAAAGACAGGCTCTGCAGGTTCAACAATATTCAGATGAATATGAAGTTCTGTTACATACACAGAGCAACTTCCAGTAGTGAGGGCATATATTTTTGTTAGTACTGGTCCCCCATGGGAATCTAACCCACAACCCTGGCGTTGGAAGTGCCATGCTCTACCAACTGAGCCACACGTTCCCATCTCTCTGTGTCTCTATGCTACTGTGCAAACACTGTGAACTTAGCCTGGTCCCAGATCTGTTTGTAATGTGTTGCCAACTCCTATGGCCATTGTTTGGCATGACAGTATTAACAGATCTGGGACCAGGCTACTGTGAACCAGGGAGACGTATAGAAACAAACTGACTGTCACTGTGCTCTCACACATATAGCTTCCAGCAGTGTATTTGATGAAGCCGTTGGAGGGTTTCAATGTTTAGCCTCCTACACTGATGGAGGACTTTTCTTTGTTCCTCAGTTGTTGTCGTGATTAAGGTCAACAAGGAAATCTACTTAACCCTGGCTGCAATCCCTCTCCTGCCTGTCTCGCTATTTTCTCCAGATGTGTGTGTGTGTGTGTGTGTGTGTGCAGACGTTTAATCCACCAAATATAAATATTGTAACCGATGCAAACACATACCAGAAATAACTATTGTAATTGGTATATGTCAGCCATGACCAATACAATCCATCCCAGAACAAATTGTACCTTTGTGGGGCGTTCTCATCCCATGGTGCACTGGGCTTCCCTCGCTGTTTCTCTGGACCGCCATTCTCTGTCTTGGTTACGTTGGAGCTAAAGGTCAACAAACAAATAAACAACAGGTAAAAAAACACAACCATGACTGTATTTGGTCTGGGCTAAGCAGTTGTACGAAGAGCTGTGAAGGATATTATCTGATATTGGAAAAACATTCTCTCTTCTTTCTATTTCCTTCTTTATTAATTCCTTCTGTCTTTGTCCCCTTTTCAATTTGTTTCAAACTGAACACCTCTCTCATTCGTACACTATTTTCTACATTTTCCTCTCACATCACTTGCCCATGTCTGATACCTCTTCACAGCTGACTGTGCTGTAATCTTAGCCGTTCCCTCTTTTTCTGCATTCTCCGTCTTGGTGTTGGACCGATTCGCATTGTTCAGTCCTATAAGGAAAAAATATGTTCTGTAAGGTTAAATACTGAACCAACCTGCCTCTTTCCATTGTTTCAATGGTAGAACAGTCTATGTCCGTAAACTAGGTGAGGAAATGTTAAGTATAATGGTGGCTTTAAGAACCTAAAAGGGTTCTTCGGCTGTCCCTATAGGAGAAACCTTTGAAAAAACATTTTTGGTTCCAGGTAGAACTAGGGTCCCGGATTGTGCGGGACAGTCCCGCATTTTGGCCCTGTGTCCCACGTCCCACAACTAAACAATCATGTCCCGCATTTTATCTACAATTTCAAACATCACAAATTATTTTCCAAGGTAGTTTTGTCCCCTATTTCAGTCAGACATTTTGCGCTTTTGACCAGATATTTATCATAAGGATGTGGTGCTGGTAGTGTTAAAAACTTTTCCAATCATTGTTGAGATCTGATATTCTGCGCAGTGCAAGATGAGACGTATGCCAATGTCATATCATGAACCAATCACATTTGTCAAATACTTTCAGTCTAAATTCCAGCTAAACATGGAGAGGACAGTCGCTTCTGACGAAGAGCTACAAAAGTAAGTAAATAGCTGTATTAGACTCAAAGGTGATTTCGTCAAACTTGAGGCTTTCCATGCTCATTAAACATGTTTGCTGTTACTTCCCACCGGGCAAAAACTGATTGAATTAACATTGTTTCCACATTATTTCAACCCAAAAAATCTATGTGAAGACGTTGAATCAACATGGAAACTGATTGGATTTGCATAAAGTTATCAACGTAGAGGCATTTCGTATTTTTTTCACCCAACTTTTAACCTAAATCCAATGAAATGGTGACCTTTTTTGTTGATTTCACGTTGAATTTAGTTGAAAACTCAACCAAATGTAAAGACTAGATGTTGAACTGATGTCTGTGCCCAGTGGGTTCATGCAATCTGGTTTTAAAAGTCTCCCTTCCTAACTGGTTTACATTCCCTGAGACCAACCAGAAATGTTTCCTTGGCCAAATATTCTCTGATTTTCATAAAACAGCACATTTGGTCTCGTTTCTGCATCAACAAATTTAGCGCGAGGCAAAAGAGTAGCCTATAGGCACGCTTCAATTAGCTTGTTCGGTACAGCGGGAGGCCACATTTGCAGGCTACACTGTCCCGTGAATGTCCTGCAAAATCATCCCTTTGTCCCACATTTGAGTATTTTAAATGTGGTCACCCTAGGTAGAACCCTTTTGGTTTCAGGTAAAACCTTTTTGGGTTCCATGTAGAACCCTTTCCACAGAGGGTTCTACATGGAATCCAAAAGGGTTACCTGAAACCAAAAATGGTTCTCCTATGGGGACAGCCGAAGAACTCTTTTGTACTGTATGTCTGTCGGTGTGAACTGTCGAAGTGAATATAATATGATTAGCTAATTGAAACCCTGTGTTGTTCCTGATGGGGGAACAGGAGGAGGAAGTGAATACTAAACTTACTGAGACTCAACTAAGCTGCTTTACACCTGACATAGTGTTGTCATTAGCAGCCTGAGAGGTTCTACTGGGAAACGGTAAAGGTGAAAGGTGAGAAAAGGTTTTTGGGTATGCATTAGTTACCATTGATACGTTACCCTTAGTGACATTGTGTTTGTCAGGTGTTGTGTAGTGTGTCTGTGGATGTTATGTAGGTCTTAGGTAGACTTTATGTATGCTGTATGTCCATCTGACCTGTGGACTGTGATGGTCTCTTGGGGTAGGTCTTGCTGCGGGTCCTGACCACCTGCAGGTCTGGTCGAGGCAGACTGACAGACGGATCCCTGCCCATCTGCATAGCAGTCTTTCCACTGTAGGGAAAGAGAGAGAGACACATTCATACACACACACACACATTGTTTAATCATCTTATTTTTTCAGGGATTCAGGGGGCAGATGTTTCTGGTCTGTCAGGTTCTTATGAGATATGGAGATGATCTGCTCTTGACCTTTCATATGTCAAACCCTTTTGTCACGCACACAGTGACAGTGATACACAGTGATAGTGATACACATTGATAGTGATACACAGTGACAGTGATACACAGTGATAGTGATACACAGTGACAGTGATACACAGTGACAGTGATACACAGTGACAGTGATACACAGCGACAGTGATACACAGTGACAGTGATAGTGATACACAGTGACAGTGATACACAGTGATAGTGATACACAGTGACAGTGATACACAGTGACAGTGATACACAGTGACAGTGATACACAGCGACAGTGATACACAGTGACAGTGATACACAGTGACAGTGATACACAGTGACAGTGATACACAGCGACAGTGATACACAGTGACAGTGATACACAGCGACAGTGATACACAGCGACAGTGATACACAGCGACAGTGATACACAGTGATAGTGATACACAGTGACAGTGATACACAGTGACAGTGATACACAGTGACAGTGATACACAGCGACAGTGATACACAGCGACAGTGATACACAGTGATAGTGATACACAGTGACAGTGATACACAGTGACAGTGATACACAGTGATAGTGATACACAGCGACTGTGATACACAGTGACAGTGACATGCATTGACAATGATATACATATGACATACATGTACATTGTTGTGCATCAGCGGGTAGCTAGTCTGATGCATCAACGAGGTGTTGAAGAGCAACATGAACATGGAAAGCACAGTCACAGTTGTGACTACATTGACCCTACAACTAGTAGAGGTCACTAGATGTATAAATATTGCAGAAGAAAACTGCAACTATTCTTCTCAGAATAGATACAGGAAGTAGACAACAGAATGAAGACAAAGGAGAGACGGATGTTGTGTGAACCCTGAAATATTCAGTTCTTCCTCTTCTATCTGGTGCCACACACACACACACACACACACACACACACACACACACACACATACACACACACACAGTGTCTCTCTGCCTGCCTGTCTGTCTGTCTTTCTGTCCAACACGGAACCACCCTTATAGCTCCTTTAGTAAAACAGACTGCATTATTCATGGTTGTGGATTTTAGCATGAATACATGCTGGGAGACTTCCTCATGGATTGACCTTCTTTATCTCAGGACATGGGATAGTGTTAAGGATGACAGAGAAGGGGATCAGATAATAGGCAGAGAATAATGCTATACTATTTCTCTATGTATTATGTATGTGGCGTTCCATCTTATAGATGATAGAAATGCATTATATTCTAAATATTCTACACAGTTTCTACAATATTTTTTAATACATAACGACATTTAAAGCTAGAATCCTTAGTTGCTACATTTTTGGGAGTTATAAATGAATTATATATACCCATTGATTCTTGAAGAATATAACTTATAAATGCCTCATGAGTTTAGTTCAACTGTCGTACCACATCAGAACCTTAAAAACAAACTTATTTTACTCCAAAGTTTGTAAACAATGTAAATGTAAACAAACGCTGTATAGCCTCAAAACATGGTTTCAACTAAAAAATTTATATCATGGATGGTTATTCTTTGCATCCATGGCTCTCTATATGAATTTGAGAGTGGTTACATTTTTCCAGGCCCATCCCTCAGCTTTTTACCAAAGTAGAGGCGGGGTGTTCGTTTTGGTATTGTTTCAATTAAGGATGCTAGCTTTAAAGCGGATATAGAATTGAGGTTTGCTCACCTGTATCGATGTTTAGATCCCAGAGAACCCAATTTGGATAGTTTTCTTGTCAGTGTGTTGCCATCATTTTCTGGCATTCTAGAAAAAGCAACAACCATGGAGAAAAAGCCTAGATGAAGAATGCGAAAATACTGTACTTCCACTAAAATCTCACAGAATATTGTGGGCAAGTTTCTACAGTACATTATTCCACAAGTAATACATGCATTATTTTTCTGTTCATGAATTTCCAATGTGACCTAACCCATGTTAAGGAGGATTAAACGCTTAGGCTGAAATGAAATTGGAAAAATTGCGTCTTTCACAAAGGTAACCGCCGATGCGTGTTTGAATTCTGAATTCACTTTGTAGTTTTTATTCATTTATAGGGAGAGAAGAGAACTGAATCGCTGCCCTAGTTGGATTTCTCTCCCGTCTACACAGGAGCAGGTCTCTTGTTCTGAGCTCTGCTTTAATGACATAATTACTGTTGGAACACCACTAGGAGCTTCCTTCAAATTCTAAGCTCTGAGTCTGAGAGAGGGCAAGACTGGTGTGTGTGTGTCAGTGTGTGTCGGTGCGTGTGTGTGTGTGAACAATAATAGAGAGAGGAGGGAATGTGAGTGTGAAAGATAGAGCAAGAGACAGAGAGAGAGAGAGAGGCCTATAAGCCTGGGGTGGGTATAACCTGTCAAGCCCCCTCCTCTCTGCCTGCCTGCCAGCTCCAGGTCTGTCTGTGGTATAGAGACTGTGCAGACTGCAGGGCTCACACGCGGATTAAACAGTGTAAATCCAGCGTCTCACGCGTCCTGCTTCCTCTCAGGCTCTTTAGAATGCTCTCATTAGGCCAACACACGGACACACGCACGGATCAAATCAAATCCAGCTTTATTTATACAGCACATTTCAGACATGGAATGCAACACAATGTGCTTCACAGGAAAAAAATAATAAAAACAATGAAAATAAAAACTGAAATATTTACTACACAACAAACATAAGAGGATAAAAAACTAAAGAATAACAATAAAAACTGAACGATTAAAAAGCATCCTAAGGAAAAGCAAAGCTACAAAGGTGTGTTTTAAGATCTCTTTTAAAAATGTCCACAGTTTTTGCCTCCCTCAGGTTCTCTGGCAGGCTATTCCAGAGGCTGGGGGCATAATAACTAAATGCTGCCTCTCCATGCCTCTTGGTCCCAGGCTTTGGGATAGTTAAAAGGCCAGTGCCAGAGGACCTGAGGGACTTACTGGGTACATAACTTAAAAGCATGTCTGACATGTATTGGGGTGCACAATCGTGGATTGATTTAAAAACAAATAGAAGAATCTTAAAATTAATTCTAAAACTCACAGGCAGCCAGTGCAGAGACCTTAAAAACAGTGTAATGTGTGCTCTCTGTCTGACTTGGTCAGTATCCGTGCTGCAGCATTCTGTATGTTTTGCAGTTGACCAATGGCTTTCTTGGGTAGACCAGACAGGAGAGCATTACAGTAGTCAAGCCACCTTGGCAATGTTCCTCAGGTGGTAAAAAGCTATTTTTGTCACGCTCTGGCTCCGGGACTTTGTATGTTGAGCCAGGGTGTGTTTGTTTCGTTGTGTTGTGTTTGGTTGGGTTGTCTTTTGGTTGTGTTTCCTTGTTTGGTCAATGACTCCCAATCGGAGGTAACGAGTGTCAGCTGTCGGCTCGTTATCTCTGATTGGGAGCCATATTTAAACTGTCTGTGTTCACCTTGTATTTGTGGGTTTTTGTTCCTTGTCAGTCTATGTGCTAAGGACGTTACGTTTCGTTTATTGTTTTTCGTGTGTGCACTTTACAAATAAAGTCATGTTCGCTCAACGCGCTGCGCTTTGGTCTACTTTTCGTCAAGACGATCGTGACAGAAAAACCCACCAAGATGGGACCAAGCAGCGTGTCCAGGAGCCGTCGCCAGGGAGATCCCTCACAGATCTCCTTCGCCTCCTGGACTGGGTCAAGCCGAGTGAGGAGGAGAAGGGCTTGACACTATGGCAGAAGGGCGAGAGGCTGGCGAAGGATATGGAGACCTGGTCCACGGGTAGGAGAGACGGCCCGAAAATTTTTAGGGGGGGGCTCACGACGTCGGACCAGCAGGAGGCCGCGATAGAGCGGCCCAGTGGGTTGCCGGAGAAGGCCGCCGGGTTACGGGGGCCACTGGTCGAAGAGGGGATGGAGGAAGTAGAGGCACGGCGAGAGGTACTGGCGTGTGTTGCCAGTCCGGTCCGGCCCGTTCCAGATCCCGGTGTAGGACCAGTGGTGTGTGTCCCCAGTACAGTCCGGCCCATCCAAGCTTCCCGCACCAAGCCAGTGGTGTGCGTCGTCAGTCCGGCACGGCCCGTGCCTGCTCTCCGCATCAAGCCTGTGGTGCGTCTCGTCAGCCCGGCTCTGCCCGTTCCTGCTCTCCGCACCAGGTCTGTGGTGCACGTCGCCAGCCCAGTCCGGCCCATTCCTGCTACTCGCAACAAGCCAAGGGTGCGAGTCGTCAGCCGGATTCAGCCCATTCCTGCTACTCGCACCAAGCCAAGGGTGCGAGTCGTCAGCCGGATTCAGCCCATTCCTGCTACTCGCACCAAGCCAAGGGTGCGAGTCGTCAGCCTGGTCCAGCCCGTTCCTGCTACTCGCACCAAGCCAGGGGTGCGAGTCATCGGCCTGGTCCAGCCCGTTCCTGCTACTCGCACCAAGCCAAGGGTGCGAGTCGTCAGCCTGGTCCAGCCCATTCCTGCTACTCGCACCAAGCCAGGGAGGCGAGTCGTCAGCCTGGTGAGGCCCGTTCCGGCTCCACGCATCAAGCCTAGGGTGCGTATCGTCAGCCAGGTCCGGTCCGTTCCTGCCTCACGCGCCAAGCCAGGGGTGCGCGTCGTCAGTCCAGGTCCTACCAGCTGGGTCAGATCGGACCGGGGGCGCTACGGGGGGATTGAATTAGGGTGGTGGACAAGCCCGGAGCCGGAGCCGCCTCCGAGGAGTAATGCCCACCCAGCCCTCCCCTGTTTGGGGTTTTTGAGGCGCGGTCGCAGTCCGCGCCTTTAGGGGGGGGTACTGTCACGCTCTGGCTCCGGGACTTTGTATGTTGAGCCAGGGTGTGTTTGTTTCGTTGTGTTGTGTTTGGTTGGGTTGTCTTTTGGTTGTGTTTCCTTGTTTGGTCAATGACTCCCAATCGGAGGTAACGAGTGTCAGCTGTCGGCTCGTTATCTCTGATTGGGAGCCATATTTAAACTGTCTGTGTTCACCTTGTATTTGTGGGTTTTTGTTCCTTGTCAGTCTATGTGCTAAGGACGTTACGTTTCGTTTATTGTTTTTCGTGTGTGCACTTTACAAATAAAGTCATGTTCGCTCAACGCGCTGCGCTTTGGTCTACTTTTCGTCAAGACGATCGTGACAATTTTTACCTGGTGTTTTATCTTTATAGCCTGTGAATTAAAATGTGCGGCCAGATTCTCTCGAAGGGCTTTGGCTCCAACAATAAGTACCTCGGTCTTGTCTTGATTTAGCTGGAGGAAGTTGTGAGCCATCCAAGTATTTAAATCACAAATACAGTCAAATAATTTATCTGTGGAGCTAAAATCCTCTGGTGACAGAAATGTAAAGTTGTGTATCGTCTGCATAGCAGTGGAAATCAATGCTGTGCTTTCTGATAACGCTACCAAGGGGTAACATATATAAACTGAACAGTACTAGACCCAAAATCGAACCTTGTCGAATGCTACATGTTATATGTATTTTCTTTAAGTTATGTTCACCAATGGTGACAATAAACTCTTGACCGGTTAAATAGGTCCTAAACCAATTTCGAATTGGACCAGAGAGGCCAACCCACCTCTCCAGTCTGTCCAGAAGGACATCATGGTCAACAGTGTCGACTGCAGCACTTAAATCCAAGAGTACAAGGACAGAGAGCTGTTTGGCATCTGTGTTGGCTCTAAGATAATTTACCACTTTAACTAAGGCCATCTCTGTGCTGTGGTGGGCACGAAAACCAGATTGGAATTTTTCAAAAATACAGTTGGCACTTAAATAATTTAGCTGTTTGAAAACCACTTTCTCCAGAATTTTGCTTAAGAATGGAAGGTTGGATATTGGCCAAAAATTACTTTCATTCAGAAGGGGTTTCACCATAGCAGTTCTTAGTGCAGTGGGGAAAGTGCCTGTGAACAGGGAGTGATTAACAATCGCTTGCACTTCTTCAGATATGCAATTAAAAACTGTTTTGAAGAAGGTGGTGGGGATAGGATTGAGAAGGCAGGTAGAAGGCTTAAGTTGTGATATTACTTTCCTGAGCATGTCTGTGTCAACTAGGGAAAATAAATCCATAGTGCCTTTGTATGGTAGGCTAGGGCACATATCATCAAGCTTCTCATCAGGTCTTCCTTGACTGATACCCAGCCTAATGTTGGTTATCTTATCTCTGAAATATGCCACAAACTCATCACATTTAGCACGCACACACACACACACACACACACACACACACCAGAGACCGCACTGCACTGCGCTGTCAGACAGGGGCCTTGTTCATTTTGATTAAGGACTGAGGGACTTGGAATGGAGCTTTTCTGGGATCTTTATGTTAAGAGGTATGTGTTAGGTTTCTAACTGAGGGGATGACAGAGAGAGGATGACTGGGGGGGGGGGGTTGACAGAGGGGGGTTGACAGAGAGGGGGGCTTGACAGAGGGGGGGGGGGGGGGGGGGGGGGGGGTTGACAGAAGAGGGGATCACAGACAAGGTTGAGAGAATGCCAAGAGTGTGCAAAGCTGTCATCAAGGCAAAGGGTGGCTGTTTGAAGAATCTCAAATATAAAATATATTTAGATTTGTTTAACACTTTTTTGGTTACTACATGATTCCAAATGTGTTCCATATATATTTATCTATATCTATCTATCTCTATCTACACTACCGTTCAAAAGTTTTAGAACACCTACTCATTCAAGGGTTGTTCTTTATTTTTACTATTTTCTACATTGTAGAATAATAGTGAAGACATCAAAACTATGATATAGATAGAGATAGATAGATATATCTAGAGATAGATATATATAGATAGATATAGATATAGATAGATAGAGATAGATAGAGATAGTTTGGGTTCTTACCTGTGGAAGGTGGTAGAGATTCTAACTGAGAAGTTATAATAGTGTTGGTATAGTAATATTTGCCTATGACAGTGTGTGTGTGTGTGTGTGTGTGTGTGTGTGTGTGTGTGTGTGTGTGTGTGTGTGTGTGTATCAGTGTGTCGTTTTTTACCTGAAGAAAGTGTGGTGTTCTATGCAGCACTTCCACAGATGTTTACATGCTGTCTTATTGGGTGCCTTGAAGAAGAACGAAGTCTCTGTGCACTGTAAATAAACAACAATGTCATCTCTTATACCAACAACAAACAAACAAAACAATACATATGTGTATGTATGTATGTATGTATGTATGTATGTATGTATATATGTGTATATATGTATGTATGTATATATACACTGCTCATAAAAATAAAGGGAACACTAAAATAACACATCCTAGATCTGAATGAATGAAATAATCTTATTAAATACTTTTTTCTTTACATAGTTGAATGTGCTGACAACAAAATCACACAAAAATGATCAATGGAAATCAAACGTATCAACCCATGGAGGTCTGGATTTGGAGTCACCCTCAAAATAAAAGTGGAAAACCACACTACAGGCTGATCCAACTTTGATGTAATGTCCTTAAAACAAGTCAAAATGAGGCTCAGTAGTGTGTGTGGCCTCCACGTGCCTGTATGACCTCCCTACAACGCCTGGGCATGCTCCTGATGAGGTGGTGGATGGTCTCCTGAGGGATCTCCTCCCAGACCTGGACTAAAGCGTCCGCCAACTCCTGGACAGTCTGTGGTGCAACGTGGCGTTGGTGGATGGAGCGAGACATGATGTCCCAGATGTGCTCAATTGGATTCAGGTCTGGGGAACAGGCGGGCATCAATGCCTTCCTCTTGCAGGAACTGCTGACACACTCCAGCCACATGAGGTCTAGCATTGTCTTGCATTAGGAGGAACCCAGGGCCAACCGCACCAGCATATGGTCTCACAAGGGGTCTGAGGATCTCATCTCGGTACCTAATGGCAGTCAGGCTACCTCTGGCGAGCACATGGAGGGCTGTGCGGCCCCCCAAAGAAATGCCACCCCACACCATGACTGACCCACCGCCAAACCGGTGATGCTGGAGGATGTTGCAGGCAGCAGAACGTTCTCCACGGCGTCTCCAGACTCTGTCACGTCTGTCACATGTGCTCAGTGTGAACCTGCTTTCATCTGTGAAGAGCACAGGGCGCCAGTGGCGAATTTGCCAATCTTGGTGTTCTCTGGCAAATGCCAAACGTCCTGCACGGTGTTGGGCTGTAAGCACAACCCCCACCTGTGGACGTCGGGCCCTCATACCACCCTCATGGAGTCTGTTTCTGACCGTTTGAGCAGAGACATGCACATTTGTGGCCTGCTGGAGGTTGTAGTGTATTAAGAATTATGACTTTGCTAATGTTTTCAAGTGGAACCTGAGAGGATGTTTATTCAGTTTCAGAGGGAGTTGTTTTAGGGTGACACCCCATAGAAGAGAGGGAGTGTGTGTTGTAGACAGGGGATTGGACAGTAGAGGGAGCCACCCATATTTTGGGGAATATTATAAGTACTGGGTTTAAACAAAGAGCATTAGAGCAGACATATTCTTTTGGGACTCTGCTCTCCGGATGCTCTAGACATCTGTAAACTTATGCTGAAATCTTGTGATATTAATACAACTTATGATCAAAGCTCAGTATAAGCGGACTCCTTTGTTACAGCATAATTAATGTTACTACTATAATTAGCAACATTGACTCGACACTACAAGGTCATTTTGCAGGGCTCTGGCAGTGCTCCTCCTGCTCCTCCTTGCACAAAGGCGGAGGTAGCAGTCCTGCTGCTGGGTTGTTGCCCTCCTACGGCCTCCTCCACGTCTCCTGATGTACTGGCCTGTCTCCTGGTAGCGCCTCCATGCTCTGGACACTACGCTGACAGACACAGCAAACCTTCTTGCCACAGCTCGCATTGATGTGCCATCCTGGATGAGCTGCACTACCTGAGCCACTTGTGTGGGTTGTAGACTCCGTCTCATGCTACCACTAGAGTGAAAGCACCGCCAGCATTCAAAAGTGACCAAAACATCAGCCAGGAAGCAAAGGAACTGAGAAGTGGTCTGTGGTCACCACCTGCAAAACCAGTCCTTTATTGGGGATGTCTTGCTAACTGCCTATAATTTCCACCTGTTGTCTATTCCATTTGCACAACAGCATGTGAAATTTATTGTCAATCAGTGTTGCTTCCTAAGTGGACAGTTTGATTTCACAGATGTGTGATTGACTTGGAGTTACATTGTGTTGTTTAAGTGTTCCCTTTATTTTTTTGAGCAGTGTATATATATATGTATACAGTGGGGAGAACAAGTATTTGATACACTGCCGATTTTGCAGGTTTTCCTACTTACAAAGCATGTAGAGGTCTGTAATTTTTATCATAGGTACACTTCAACTGTGAGAGACGGAATCTAAAATCTAAAAATCCAGAAAATCACATTGTATGATTTTTAAGTAATTAATTTACATTTTATTGCATGAAATAAGTATTTGATCACCTACCAACCAGTAAGAATTCCGGCTCTCACAGACCTGTTAGTTTTTCTTTAAGAAGCCCTCCTGTTCTCCACTCATTACCTGTATTAACTGCACCTGTTTGAACTCGTTACCTGTATAAAAGACACCTGTCCACACACTCAATCAAACAGACTCCAACCTCTCCACAATGGCCAAGACCAGAGAGCTGTGTAAGGACATCAGGGATAAAATTGTAGACCTGCACAAGGCTGGGATGGGCTACAGGACAATAGGCAAGCAGCTTGGTGAGAAGGCAAAAACTGTTGGCGCAATTATTAGAAAATTGAAGAAGTTCAAGATGACGGTCAATCACCCTTGGTCTGGGGCTCCATGCAAGATCTCACCTCGTGGGGCATCAATGATCATGAGGAAGGTGAGGGTCAGCCCAGAACTACACGGCAGGACCTGGTCAATGACCTGAAGAGAGCTGGGACCACAGTCTCAAAGAAAACCATTAGTAACACACTACGCCGTCATGGATTAAAATCCTGCAGCGCACGCAAGGTCCCCCTGCTCAAGCCAGCGCATGTCCAGGCCCGTCTGAAGTTTGCCAATTACCATCTGGATGATCCAGAGGAGGAATGGGAGAAGGTCATGTGGTCTGATGAGACAAAAATAGAGCTTTTTGGTCTAAACTCCACTCGCCGTGTTTGGAGGAAGAAGAAGGATGAGTACAACCCCAAGAACACCATCCCAACCGTGAAGCATGGAGGTGGAAACATCATTCTTTGGGGATGCTTTTCTGCAAAGGGGACAGGACGACTGCACCGTATTGAGGGGAGGATGGATGGGGCCATGTATCGCGAGATCTTGGCCAACAACCTCCTTCCCTCAGTAAAAGCATTGAAGATGGGTCGTGGCTGGGTCTTCCAGCATGACAACGACCCGAAACCCACAGCCAGGGCAACTAAGGAGTGGCTCCGTAAGAAGCATCTCAAGGTCCTGGAGTGGCCTAGCCAGTCTCCAGCCCTGAACCCAATAGAACATCTTTGGAGGGAGCTGAAAGTCCGTTTTGCCCAGCGACAGCCCCGAAACCTGAAGGATCTGGAGAAGGTCTGTATGGAGGAGTGGGCCAAAATCCCTGCTGCAGTGTGTGCAAACCTGGTCAAGACCTACAGGAAACGTATGATCTCTGTAATTGCAAACAAAGGTTTCTGTACCAAATATTAAGTTCTGCTTTTCTGACAACTGCCTCGGTATTCACAGCTTAATGAGACTCTCAGGTCGCTAGTTGGCACACGCTCACGCACGCACGCACATACACACACAGACACACACACACACACACCCCAGTGAAAATGAATCGTCTGCATAAACCAAATTCAGTATTTAATTCAGCAAGACTCACAGGTCTCAATGAGTCACACTATCTCAACAGAGAGAAGAGAAATGTGGTTCTGCGTCAGTGATATCACTTTGAAAACGATCAAGAAATCCTCCCCAAAAGCCCCAAAAAGTGTACGTTTGAAAATTCCCCAAAGACCCAAAAGGTCATCATTAAGCTGGATGTGTTTTGAGGAAGTTAAGTTTGTGTGACGCGTCTCTCTCCCCATTTGCACCCATGAAGTAAACATCAGTGAAGATGGGAGAGAGCTTTCAAGGCTGCAGCCACGTCCCGTAGTCCTGCTCTGTCATGTTTCTTTAATTTCTCTCCTTAAACATTAGGAAGATGTCAAAATCCTTCAAGATAAAACACACGATTGACCTTTCAAGGTTTCAAATGGGAGTACTGCAGATACTCCTGAGAACATTCAGTCAGTTTCATTTTATGCCTTGCTTTCCACACCTCTGATATCCAAACAAATTGGTTTTGATTCAGTCATAACAAGTTAGCTAGTGTGAATGATCTCAAATTATTGAGTTTATGAAACATGCTAAAATAAACAGAATAATCACAAACAAACAAAGTCAAGGTCAAAAATTCAGTACATAACTTCACAAAACATTCCTTATGCAGATATTACTGAAAGATAATAACTGATAACTTACATCTTTTCCAACGACTCGAAGCTCAAATTGTGTTTCCTTAAAATGCACTTTTGTTATCCTTGGCCTGAAATATTAAAGTAAACAGGTATGATAACTTATCAGTCACAGTTTATTTTTTTCATAAATACTGCAGTAAGTTATCTAACTAACATGAAGGGCTCTATTTCCGGCTGGCGTTAGTTTGCAATTTCGTCATGTAAAAACTGTCGCACTGGCATTTTCCAGCCGTAACGCCAAGTTCGGCAATTTACCTGTCTTATATCAGCTTGCTTGCTTGCGCTCAGATTGGCACTACAGAGGTTAGTGCGTACGGCACAGTACATCACTGGGGCCAAGCTTCCTGCCATCCAGGACCTCTATACCAGGCGGTGTCAGAGGAAGGCCCTAAAAATTGTCAAAGACTCCAGCCACCCTAGTCATAGACTGTTCTCTCTGCTACCGCACGTCAAGCGGTACCAGAGCACCAAGTCTTGGTCCAAAAGGCTCCTTAACAGCTTCTACCCCCAAGCCATAAGACTGCTGAACAATTAATGAAATGGCCACCCGGACTATTTGCATTGACCCCCCCCCCCCCTCCCCTCTTTTACGCAGCTACTACTCACTGTTTGTTATCTATGCATAGTCACTTTAGCCCTACCTACATGTACATATTACCTCAATTACCTCAACTAACCTGTAACCCGCACATTGACTCAGTACCAGTACTCCCTGTATATAGCCTCGTTATTGTTCTTTTATTGTGTTACTTTTTTAAACTTTAGTTTATTTAGCAAATAATTTCTTAACTCTTATTTTTCTTTAAACTGGTTAAGGGCTTGTAAGTAAGCATTTCACGGTAAGGTCTATACCTGTTGTATTCGGCGCATGTGACGAATACAACATGTGATGTGTTTTGCTTTGATTTGGGTGGAAATATTTGAGGTGTGTCCTTAAAAACATGATCCAAAGTGCTAATTTCAGGCAGTGCTGATAGGGATATGTAAGACCAACCAAAAGCTGGTTTTAGCAGTAACGCAGTTGGCTATGGCATGAGTTTTGACAGCGGAAACGTAGCCTATCCAGCCGTGACGCACACTGCCCATATGTGCATAGAACAAGAGTAGCCTAATGTGCTTTTGGTGCCTGTATACTTCATATTTTACTCAATGCAATCACGAAGTAGTCAAGACTGTTGATAGGATTTGGCTCCTGACACCGCTTGGAAATAAATCTTAATCACTAAATATTTATTAAAATATTAAGTTTGAGAGGAGTAAAACAGTGAGCTGACATTCCCTTTTGATCTATGCATTGTAGTCAGGCCCACATTCTTTTAGCCATGCAGGTCCCATTTTGGACGTGCATAAATCTCCCTCCATGGTGTAGGCTACGTGTCCATGCCCATCCTGAAACGAGAGATGAGAACCTCGGTGAATACCAAGCCAGGTCACCCAGCCATCCCAGCCAGCACCGGTGAACCTAGTATTTAGAAGTTTTTATAACTTGTAAAAATTGCTTGTTTTCCATTTCATATGTTGAAAACCCAAGCCCTCCCTCAGGCCTATTATAAGGAAGGATGGTTCAACAACAAGCCCTCCCTCAGGCTTACTATAACGAAGGCTGGTTCAACAACAAGCCCTCCCTCAGGCCTACTATAAGGAAGGCTGGTTCAACAACAAGCCCTCCCTCAGGCCTACTATAAGGAAGGCTGGTTCAACAACAAGCCCTCCCTCAGGCCTATTATAAGGAAGGATGGTTCAACAACAAGCCCTCCCTCAGGCTTACTATAACGAAGGCTGGTTCAACAACAAGCCCTCCCTCAGGCCTACTATAAGGAAGGTTGGTTCAACAGCAACCCAAGCCCTCCCTCAGGCCTACTATAAGGAAGGCTGGTTCAACAACAAGCCCTCCCTCAGGCCTACTATAAGGAAGGCTGGTTCAACAACAAGCCCTCCCTCAGGCCTACTATAAGGAAGGCTGGTTCAACAACAAGTCCTCCCTCAGGCCTATTATAAGGAAGGCTGGTTCAACAACAATGACTATCTTTTTTATCCTGGTGGTTTTATGACATCATTACATTTCACATTTATTTCTTTTAAAAAAACGGATTGCTTGTTTATCTTTACATTTTATTACAACCAAACTTATTAGAATGATTCACCTTTCCAACATCCGTAGCACGCTTGCAATGCAATTGCTGGAGATGTGTGAATGTGATCTGATCTGTAAGATGGTTCTGATTATATTAATATTTGGGAGCAGTATAACAGTGAGTGGACATTGTCCCTTTCTCGTTATATTGGATCTTTGTCCAGCTACTGTGAAAAGTTGAGATGTGAGTAAAACCCTCCATAGTCTGCGTTGTTTTAATATTATACAGTGAGGGAAAAAAGTATTTGATCCCCTGCTGATTTTGTACGTTTGCCCACTGACAAAGACATGATCAGTCTATCATTTTAATGGTAGGTTTATTTGAACAGTGAGAGACAGAATAACAACAAAAAAATCCAGAGAAACGCATGTCAAAAATGTTATAAATTGATTTGCATTTTAATGAGGGAAATAAGTATTTGACCCCTCTGCAAAACATGACTTAGTACTTGGTGGCAAAACCCTTGTTGCCAATCACAGAGGTCAGACGTTTCTTGTAGTTGGCCACCAGGTTTGCACACATCTCAGGAGGGATTTTGTTCCACTCCTCTTTGCAGATGTTCTCCAAGTCATTAAGGTTTCGAGGCTGACGTTTGGAAACTCGAACCTTCAGCTCCCTCCACAGATTTTCTATGGGATTAAGGTCTGGAGACTGGCTAGGCCACTCCAGGACCTTAATGTGCTTCTTCTTGAGCCACTCCTTTGTTGCCTTGGCCGTGTGTTTTGGGTCATTGTCATGCTGGAATGCCCATCCACGACCCATTTTCAATGCCCTGGCTGAGGGAAGGAGATTCTCACCCAAGATTTGACGGTACATGGCCCCGTCCATTGTCCCTTTGATGCAGTGAAGTTGTCCTGTCCCCTTAGCAGAAAAACACCCCCAAAGCATAATGTTTCCACCTCCATGTTTTTATTTTTATTTTTTTTTTATTTTTATTTTTTTATTTTTTATTTATTTATTGTTTTTTTTCGGGGGGAAGGATCAGCTTAATATTGCAGATAGATTGTATCTTCTATCAATGTAATTGTCTGCATCACTTCCAATCCCCCATATTTTTTTTTATTTTTTATATATATATATTCCCCTTTATTACTTTTCAACCCCACCATCCTTTCCCTACTTGGAGTAAATTAGTGAACAACAACGCCCAGGCCTCTACTTCCGGTCCATACTCACTATCTACACCTTATGGACAGAGTTAATTTTACAATAATTCTATATCTATATATATATATATATATATATATATATATATATATATATACATATATACATACATACATACACATACACACACACATACATATATATATATATATATACATATATATATACATATATATATACATATACATATACACACCTATTTATTTTTTTTCTCCTGAACTTCTTCTACTCTCAACCTCTCCGATCATCTTCATGATGTCCATCCGGTTTGCCTCTAAATGCCATATCTTTCTAACTGTGCTCCTTCCCAAAAGCTCCCAACATACAACCTATATACTTATTATGGACACAGTATGCTTACATTATTAGCTATCTTTGTTATTATTTGTTGTTATTTGTTATTAGTCCCATCCTTCAACTCTATTCAATACCTCCCATCTATCTCTTAACACCATCCATATAGGATTTCTATTTGCCATATATATTTCAACCATACTGTGATGTTTTACAAAAGTTCTGAACCTTTCTATTCTCATTGCTTCTACAGATTGTGAATTAAAAATAAACATTTTTGCTAAAAGTATTATTATATTATTGATTGATTGACTATGACTTTTCAGATCACCCAGTAATGCTATCTGCAAGGTTAGTTCCAGGTAAATATTGCAATCCTTTAGCCATTCCTGGACCTGTGTCCAAAAACAAGCTACAAATGGACAGAACCAAAACAAATGATCTAATGATTCTATCTCTTCACAGCAAAATCTGCAGAGCTGGGAAGATTGTATCCCCCATATAAATAACATTCTATTGGTAGCAAGAATTTTATATAATAATTTAAATTGAAAGATTCTAATTTTTGAATCCGGTGTCGTTTTGCGTGTCAGTTCATAAACACTATGCCATGGGATCGGTACGTCAAAGATCTCTTCCCAACTATTTTGCAATCTATATGGGACTGCTGTCAATCCTTTGGTCCTTAAGTGAAACTGATATACTTTTTTATTTATCACAGTTTTCCTTAACCAATTATGTTCTTTAATGCAAGGCCGACAGACAAGTTCCTTACTTTCTCCCCCTTCAACTTTCCTCTTCCACTTTTGCGGTATGGCTGCAATTATTTGGTTGTAATTTTGGGTAGAGCAGACATTTCCATATGTTTTTATTAGCTGCATGTGCGACATAACTCCACCAGTCCTACCGATGATATCATTTACGAAGATTATACCTTTTTTAAACATTCTGTCAATAAATATAGGTTTTTTGTCAATTAGTATATTTGAATTTAACCACAATATTTGTTGCATTATTTGTTCTGTCGTTTCTGGAGGATTAAATTGAAATTGTAACCAACTTTCTATGGCTTGTTTTAGAAATAGTGACATTTGGGAGATTATTTCCTTTTCAAATAACTGAAAGTGAGAGGTTGTAATCTGAATAAAGGGAAAAAGGCCTTTCTTGAACAGTGGGTGAGACAATCTTACTAATTTGCTTGAGAACCAGTTCGGATTTAAGTATAACTTTTGGATGACCTCCATGTTTGACGGTGGGGGTGGAAACATTATGTATGGATGACGGATCACCACCTCAAGCTGAACCCTGGCAAGACGGAGCTGCTCTTCCTCCCGGGGAAGGACTGCCCGTTCCATGATCTCGCCATCACGGTTGACAACTCCGCTGTGTCCTCCTCCCAGAGTGCGAAGAGCCTAGCCGTGACCCTGGACAACACCCTGTCGTTCTCCGCCAACATCAAGGCGGTGACCCGCTCCTGCAGGTTCATGCTCTACAACATTCGGAGAGTGCGACCCTGCCTTACACAGGAAGCGGCGCAGGTCCTGGTCCAGGCACTTGTCATCTCCCGTCTGGACTACTGCAACTCGCTGTTGGCTGGGCTCCCTGCCTGTGCCATTAAACCCCTACAACTCATCCAGAATGCCGCAGCCCGTCTGGTGTTCAACCTTCCCAAGTTCTCTCACGTCACCCCCCTCCTCCGCACACTCCACTGGCTTCCAGTTGAAGCTCGCATCCGCTACAAGACCATGGTGCTTGCCTATGGAGCAGTGAGGGGAACGGCACCTCTGTACCTTCAGGCTCTGATCAGTCCCTACACCCAAACGAGGACATTGCGTTCATCCACCTCTGGCCTGCTGGCTCCCCTTCCTCTGCGGAAGCATAGCTCCCGCTCAGCCCAGTCAAAACTGTTCGCTGCTCTGGCACCCCAATGGTGGAACAAGCTCCCTCACGACGCCAGGACAGCGGAGTCACTCACCACCTTCCGGAGACATTTGAAACCCCACCTCTTTAAGAAATACCTGGGATAGGATAAAGTATTCCTTCTAACCCCCCCCCCCCCCCCCCCCAAATTGTAAAGTGGTTATCCCACTGGCTATAGGGTGAACGCACCAATTTGTGAGTCGCTCTGGCTAAGAGCGTCTGCTAAATGACGTTAATGTGCCCTTGAGCAAGGCACTTAACCCTAATTGCTCCTGTAAGTCGCTCTGGTTAAGAGCGTCTGCTAAATGACTAAAATGTAAATGTAAATGTAATGTGTTCTTGGGGTCATTGGCAGCATTCCTCCTCCTCCAAACACGGCGAGTTGAGTTGATGCCAAAGAGCTCCATTTTGGTCTCATCTGACCACAACACTTTCACCCAGTTCTCCTCTGAATCATTCAGATATTCATTGGCAAACTTCAGATGGCCCTGTATATGTGCTTTCTTGAGCAGGAGGACCTTGCGTTCGCTGCAGGATTTCAGTCCTTCACGGCGTAGTGTGTTACCAATTGTTTTCTTGGTAACTATGGTCCCACCTGCCTTGAGATCATTGACAAGATCCTCCCGTGTAGTTCTGGGCTGATTCCTCACCGTTCTCATGATCATTGCAACTCCACAAGGTGAGATCTTGCATGGAGCCCCAGGCCGAGGGAGATTGACAGTTATTTTGTGTTTCTTCCATTTGCGAATAATCGCACCAACTGTTGTCACCTTCTCACCAAGCTGCTTGGCGATGGTCTTGTAGCCCATTCCAGCCTTGTGTAGGTCTACAATCTTGTCCCTGACATCCTTGGAGAGCTCTTTGGTCTTGGCCATGGTGGAGAGTTTGGAATCTGATTGATTGAATGCTTCTGTGGACAGGTGTCTTTTATACAGGTAACAAACTGAGATTAGGAGCACTCCCTTTAAGAGTGTGCTCCTAATCTCAGCTCGTTACCTGTATAAAAGACACCTGGGAACCAGAAGTCTTTCTGATTGAGAGGGGGTCAAATACTTATTTCCCTCATTCAAATGCAAATCAATTTATAACATTTTTGACATGCGTTTTTCTGGATTTTGTTGTTATTCTGTCTCTCTCTGTTCAAATAAACCTACCATTAAAATTATAGACTGATCATGTCTTTGTCAGTGGGCAAACGTACAAAATCAGCAGGGGATCAAATACTTTTTCCCTCACAGTATTCCCACAGGAAGAAATGATGGTGCCTGTAAGTGTGACATAGCCTATTAAAAACAAGTTGTTGTTTTGTTTAGAATTTGATTCAAATTATTCGTTCTCTTTTTAGGCCTTAACAATAATTAATTTAGTCTTGCTTATTGACAATGTTTGGCATGTCCATGCTCAGCCACAATGCAATTTACAGTAGGCCTAGCCCCTAGATCAGTGTGAATGCTATTGAAGCCATACAATTACTTAGAACAATGTGGACTGCAAATGGGTTGAAAGTAACGTCTTTAGCAAAGATAGGTCTACATTTTGCTATTTTGTTTCTGTAAGCCATTTAACAAACTATAAAGGACTAACATTGGAATTGGAGTTGATTCCAAGGCAATACATAAAATACCGTAAATACACAACTTGAAGCAACCACATATTTCACCAAGGAGCACGTTCTGATTGGCCAGTGAGGGGCCAAGCCTCAGCACAACCACAACTTGTTTATTCATCAAAACCCCGCCCTTTCGCACCAACGCCAGCAAGTGAGCCGATAATTGTGATAGTGAAAATAGCAAAAGTATTTCTAACACATCCCTGAACCTATAGCGCTACCGCCTGCACTTAGATTTACCATTGTGTTAGGTTTGTTAAAATAGAGCCCGAAATGGGAGTTATAGGTCAAACCATCATAGTCATTATTTACTCCTACAGGGTATACAAATCATCCAAAAACAATAGCTACCAGAAATACTTCCCAACTTGTGTTTTGTTCTTGTAGACAACAACTCCAATAGGTGTTAACCCCAGGAAGTATTCAGATTGATTCTCTCCCTGAAACACACCACAATAACAGGTATTATTCCAAACACAATTTACATACTAAGTGCCAACCAGCAATAACACAGAGTCAGGATATTAACGTATGTGTCAAAGGGTAAGAACATAGTAAAACAGTCATCTCTCCACACAGAGAGACTAGGAAAATAAGAAGGAATATGATCAAGGTTAAGGTGATTGTGATAAACCACAGAATACAGCTCTAACAAGCATCCCAGTCTTCTCCACAGTCAGCGAGTCCAGCTCCTACTTACGAAGACAGGGTGAAGGTCGACTCCGTACATATCCAGTGTTTTGGCGATTCCTAGATAATTGAGTTCAGCCTTGGAGGGAACCTGTTCCCTGAAACACAGAGATGGTATCTTGTTGGTGAAGCATCAGGAAAGGCTTTCAAGCCCATAGACAAACACATAGAAGGACATCTTATCTAGTGTGTATCTACAAGTATACATAGTGTGACATTATCCAGTATACATCTTACTGTATACATGGTATAACATGAGCTAGTATACACCTACAAGTATACATACCGTAGTCTAACATTATCAAGTATACATCTTACTGTATACATGGTATAACATGAGCTAGTATACACCTACAAGTATACATACCGTAGTCTAACATTATATTGTACAGTCTACTTAGTACATCTAGATACCTTTATCTATTCTAAAGCTAAGGGTTTAGAAACATCTAAAGCTAAGTGTTTAGAAACAGCCATGTAACAAATCACTAAGTGACTGTTGGTGGAATGCAGTGCAACAAGAGAACACCCAAAATAAATGGAAAGTTGATATTTATTGTGTTGTACTTCACCCCTGATGACAGTATTACAGCAGGGATGGAGAGTTGTTTAACTGTCATGAATCGCCCAGTCTAATAACAGTAAATCTAACATGATGACATACCTGGTCAACAACAGAGGTAATTATAGGTAGAGAGATTATAGCTAGAGTGTTTTAGAGTACTGTATGCAGTGTGGACAGATACAATACAATGGATTCACTCTGAAGTGGCAACACTGAGATAAATAGGTTATATATCATAATAATAATAATATTAATAATAATAAGGAACTACAATACAAGTAATCTTACATGCCAGACTTAAATGTTCAGAGACAGACTTGTCTGGTCCCACGAGACGACAATTAAATAAACTCAAATGAAACTAATACACTTTTCAAAAACGTAACATAACATACTTTCCCCCCTCCTCATCTAATCAGTAATGCTTTTTCTACATTCCTATTTACTAACATTCCATGTTAACAACTAGGTTGGGGACTGGGTTATGTATCTCCTATTACTCATTAACTACAATGTCATACAGAGAGAGTCATGTTTAAAAACCAAAAGTATGCAGTCTAGGAGAACACAGGTATGGAACAACTGCCTGTGCTTTGCTGTGTACATACGATATGTTTATCGAGAGTGAATCGTGTACCAACTGTCAACTAAGTCTACAATATGGTGAAAATATCTATGAATGTGGATAAAGGGTGATGGAATACCTCTGTCACAAAGGTATTATTGTATGTATCGTGCAACCCACACTGTAATCTCTGGACTATAAGCAGTGTGTCTGCAGTGTAAACTCTGGCTTTGGTAAACTCCATATACTGTGCCCACATCTCCCTCCTCATGTTAGAGGTTAGAGGAGTGATGCATCCTCTCCTCCCTCTCTGCTCTCGAGCCGTATCATTGATCTCCTGATCACACACATTAGTAACACAGAGACTCAGACTCATTCAGCCTGTTGAAGTGTGACCCCTAGAGCTCCTCCCACCTCCCTTCTCCCTCCATACCCTGAAGACACAATCTCATCCTTCTTTCCCAGTCCATTATGGATTCTGTTCACATGTTCTTTGTAGGTAGCCGGGCCAGGGCTGAGATGATTGTCGGTATAAATGCAGTTAGGTGGTTGAGTGGCTTGGAACGGGGAGTTATTAACGGACGCTCCGGGGTGGAGGCAGGGGCTCCATGGAGCCGTGACACAACGGGCGGGGACAGGGACACTCATCCCTCCGTTTGGCCCCACGTCTGCCTGCCTGGCTGTGTGTGTGTGTGTCGTTAGTGTGTTTGGTTGGCCTAATTTCTTCCCGCCTGGCCTGCCTGCCTGCTGCCTGTGGGACCGAGGCCGCCTGGACGGACGAGACAGGAATAGGAAGTGGAAGAGAGTCAGAGAGCAGCAGATATATGACAAGGGGTGTGGTGCTGGGTGTTCTACATAGCAGATCACAGTGAGGTTGACATCCACAGGCTTTTGAGAGAACTATGTCTATCTCTCTGTATCTATCACCCCCCCCACAGCACCTTCTACCTCTCTTTTCCTTCCTCTGCCTGTCCTCTTGTCTCCCCTTGTTTTCACACTGCAGCATCTCTCTCTCTCTCTTTCCCTCTCTCTCTCTCTCTCTCTCTCTCTCTCTTCCACTGTATCTCAATTCAATTCAATTTAAGGGGCTTTATTGGCATTTATTGTCAGTGTAATCTGAGGGAAATATGTGTCTCTAATATGGTCATACATTTAGCAGGAGGTTAGGAAGTGCAGCTCAGTTTCCACCTCATTTTGTGGGCAGTGTGCACATAGCCTGTCTTCTCTTGAGAGCCAGGTCTGCCTACGGCGACCTTTCTCAATAGCAAGGCTATGCTCACTGAGTCTGTACATAGTCAAAGCTTTCCTTAATTTTGGGTCAGTCACAGTGGTCAGGTAGTCTGCCACTGTGTACTCTTTGAAATAGCATTCTAGTTTGCTCCGTTTTTTTGTTAATTCTTTCCAATGTGTCAAGTAATTATCTTTTTGTTTTTTCATGATTTGGTTGGGTCTAATTGTGTTGCTGTCCTGGGGCTCTGTGGGGTCTGTTTGTGTTTGTGAACAGAGCCCCAGGACCAGCTTGCTTAGTGGACTCTTATCCAGGTTCATCTCTCTGTAGGTGATGGCTTTGTTATGGAAGGTTTGGGAATCACTTCCTTTTAGGTGGTTGTAGAATTTAATGGCTCTTTTCTGGATTTTGATCATTAGCGGGTATCGGCCTAATTCTGCTCTGCATGCATTATTTGGTGTTGTACGTTGTACACTGAGGATATTTTTGCAGAATTCTAAATTTGTTGTTTGTCCCAATTTGTGAATTCTTGGTTGGTGAGCGGACCCCAGACCTCACAACCATAAAGGGCAATGGGTTCTATAACTGATTGAAGTATTTTTAGCCATATCCTAATTGGTATGTGGAATTTTATGTTATTTTTGATGGCATAGAAGGCATAGAATATTGTCTTATTGAGATTTACTGTCAGGGCCCAGGTCTCTCTCTCCTTCTGAGTCCCTCCGTCTATCTCTTCCTCTCTCTCTTCCTTCCCACTGCCTCCCCTTTTTTCCTCATATAACAACCTCTCTCTATATCTATCTGCATCTTCTCCCACTCCTTCTCTCTCTCTATTACTCTCTTCCTCCCGCTACTTCTGTCTCTCTTCCTCCCCTCTTCCTCTCCTCTGTCCCATACCCCAGCCTCTCTCTGATCATCAGTCAGACAGCGGTGGGAGGAAAGGAGGATGCCTGGATGAACCCCCTAGTGACTGATCACCAATCAGACCAGCCTGCTCCACTCTCCTCTTTCCACAGGACGCTTAGCTCACTGGGTAAATAATGACCCAGGCTCGAGTCTCATCAGCAGGCCACGGAGCTGAGGGCTGAGCATCACCCTCCAGTGTTACACTCAGTCACAGCAGCACTGACAGAGACAGAGACAGAGACACACAGAGAGAGAGAGAGCGAGAGCGAGAGCGAGAGAGCGAGAGAGAGAGAGAGAGAGAGAGAGAGAGAGAGAGAGAGAGAGAGAGAGAGAGAGAGCGAGAGCGAGAGAGAGAAGCTAAGAGGAGCTAAGAGGCCCCAGAGGGAATAGAGCAAAACCAAATGATGATCACTGTCTCTTAGTCATTGATAGCTGCCTGTTGTCTTTCTCAACAACATTAAGGGGATGTATGGTCATAGACTAACAACTTTCAGGACTTATGGGGTTGACACTGTAAGAAGAAATGTAATGTATAAAGGTATATGATGTGTCTCAGTCTGAGAATTTTGATTTTCGTGATATCCAATTGGGAGTTACAGTCTTGTCCCATTGCTGCAACTCCTGTACGGACTCGGGAGAGGTGAAGGTCGAGAGCCATCCTCCAAAACACGACCCTGCCAAGCCGCACAGCTTCTTGACACACTGCTCGCTTAACCCGGAAGCCAGCCACACTAATGTGTCGGAGGAAACACAGTACAACTGGCGACCGAAGTCAGTGTGCATGCGCCCGGCCCTCCACAAGGAGTCGCTAGAGCGCGATGGGACAAGGACATCCCGTCCGGCCAAACCCTCCCCTAACCCAGGGGAGGGGTAATTGCGCGCCGCCTCATGGGTCTCCCAGTCGCAGCCGGCTGCGAAACAGCCTGGGATCGAACCCGGGTCTGTAGTGACTTCTGTAGCACTGCGATGCAGTGCCTTAGACCGCTGCGCCACTCGGGAGGCCCAACCCTATAGGTTTCTGTTATAAAATAATAAACTGGATACATTTGTATCAGTTTCTGTCTGACTGCGAGGAGAATGTTGTTATCCACAGAGAAAGGCCCAGGATTGGCTGCAGCGAGGGTATAGTGGGGCTGGGTCATTATAGTGTGTGTGTGTGTGTGTGTGTGTGTGTGTGTGTGTGTGTGTGTGATTGTGTGTCAGGCCGCCGGGGGCTGCATGGGGAGATTGTGTTGGTGTAATGGAGAGGACATTAGTGGAGAGGAGCTGGCTCTTTATCCTGCTTCACACTGAGATTAAACCACATAATCACTTCACTGTCACGATACTGTAGTCCATGCCACTGTCTGGAATACACAAACAACACCAGGGAATGGATGGATAACCATAATCATATGATGGTAAAATCCATAATATCAAATATTTAACACTTTCATACTGTCAACATTGGTTTAATGGCCACTGTCACTGAACTGACCAGATTCATATAATCACATTTCAATATGAGATTATCAAACAAAGTCCTCTGTAGCTCAATTGGTAGAGCATGGCGCTTGTAAGGCCAGGGTAGTGGGTTCGATCCCCGGGACCACCCATACGTAAAAATTTATGCACACATGACTGTAAGTCGCTTTGGATAATTATATATTATATCAAATGGATATTTCTCTCTTTTCAATCCTGTCTGTCTGTCTGTCTGTCTATGTCAGTCTGTCTTTTTGTTATATTACCATGTAATTCACCTCTCTCTCTCTCTCTCTCTCTCTCTCTCTCTCTCTCTCTCTCTCTCTCTCTCTCTCTCTCTCTCTCTCTCTCTCTCTTTCTCTCTCTCTCTCTCTCTCTCTCAATTTCAATTTAAGGGGCTTTATTGGCATGAAATAGATAATAAACAAAAGTGAAACAAACAATACAAAAATATCTCTATCCCCCCTCTCTCTCCCTGCATGCCTCCTCTCACCTTAGCCCTGCTTTCAGCCTATCCTCTGTGTGTCTATGAGACAATGAGGAGTGTGTTCGTCAGAGCAGACCAGCCGTCACAGCTGTAATCCATAATCCTCACAAATAGGGTCGGGGTCCTGGCAGCACTGTGTAATCTGACCTAATGCAGATTGGGGGCTGCCGTCCTTTAGCCTTGATAGACCTGGGGTTAATTATCATTTTAGTGTGGGAGAAGTCAGTCATTCATGGCTCTAGCTCTCATGATCACGACTCTGGTCTTTTCTTCTCTGTGACAGCTCTGTTGGTCACCCCTATCCTATACCCCTATACCCCTACAGCTCTGTTGGTCACCCCTATCCTATACCCCTACAGCTCTGTTGGTCACCCCTATCCTATACCCCTACAGCAGGAGAGGTAGTGAAACACACCACACACCCACACAGACACATACTGACACACACACTCCCTCCAAGCCACTTCAACATACCAGGCAGGTGATTGAGCTGTCCATAGGTCACCTCTGGCCTGTTAGGACTGTAGGGCTCTTAGCTCCTATTTCAAAGAGTAGGGAGCAGAGCCAGGAATCCTTATTATCACACACAACATCCCACAGTGCAGGATTCCCAATGGTATTCCCGGGAACTGATATCCCACCCAGCCAAGGAACCATGGGATTACCACCGTAGTGGACCACTTTAAGATGAAATTGAACGATAGTGGAGAAATTCTCAGATGTCTCCAACCTCATTTCCCTAAGCAAATAAATTATTAATATATCAAAGAGATAACAGTATGCCTTTGTCAACAGTCTTGTTTTGAGAGGGAAAAACCCCTTCAGAAAAGAAAAAAGAAGGACTCAACTAGGGTTCAGTATTACAGTACCAGAACTAGTAAACAGTTACAGATGAAGTCATCTCTGTAGTTACATGTTATATCTCAGCAAGTTAAAAGTCACAACAGAGTTAAACGATTCCCTTGCTTTCTGAGAAATGATTAGATCAGATACTGCAGATAATCCCTTATGAGACAGATGTTCAATTACGTAGGTTATTAATACACCACCAGACTGACTAAGTTATTAATACACCATCAGAGACTGACTAAGTTATTAATACACCACCAGAGAGGAGAGGGATTATTTACATTACAGTTTTGTGTATTATGAGACAGATGTTCCATTAGGTAAGTTATTAATACACCATCAGAGACTGACTAAGTTATTAATACACCATCAGAGACTGACTAAGTTATTAATACACCATCAGAGACTGACTAAGTTATTAATACACCACCAGATACTGACTAAGTTATTAATACACCACCAGACTGACTAAGTTATTAATACACCACCAGAGACTGACTAAGTTATTAATACACCACCAGATACTGACTAAGTTATTAATACACTACCAGAGACTGACTAAGTTATTAATACACCACCAGATACTGACTAAGTTATTAATACACCACCAGATACTGACTAAGTTATTAATACACCACCAGATACTGACTAAGTTATTAATACACTACCAGAGACTGACTAAGTTATTAATACACCACCAGATACTGACTAAGTTATTAATACACTACCAGAGACTGACTAAGTTATTAATACACCACCAGATACTGACTAAGTTATTAATACACCACCAGATACTGACTAAGTTATTAATACACCACCAGATACTGACTAAGTTATTAATACACCACCAGACTGGCTAAGTTATTAAAAAATATACCACCAGACTGACTAAATTATTAATACACCACCAGAGACTGACTAAGTTATTAATACACCACCAGAGACTGACTCAGTTATTAATAAACCACCAGAGACTGACTAAGTTATTAATACACCATCAGAGATTGACTAAGTTATTAATACACCATCAGAGACTGACTGCACAACCCAGACACTTTAACACTTTAACACTGTACAGTAACAATAACAGTTGGATTATATCTGACGTATAGTACAGTGGAGAGAGAGGGGAACCTGCTATGAGGGAATCAGACTGGGATTAGGGATTAGGCTGGCTGTCATAGAGGTCGAAGAGAGGAGAGGAGAGAGGAGAAGAGGAGAAAGGACAGAGGAGAAGAGGAGAAAGGACAGGGGAGAAGGGAGGGGAGAGGAGAGAGCAGAGGAGGAGAGAGGAGCGAGAAGAGGATAGGATAGGAGAGGAGAGAAGGCGGGAGAGGAGAGGAGAGAGGAGAGGAGAGGGCTTTCTTACATTACAGTTTTGTGGATTGTCTCAATTGCGTCCTCCAGTTCCTCTTTCTGGTCCGGGACGAAGCGGTACTCTGACACGTATCCCGACACATGTTTGTACGGGTCGTAATCGCCAAGCTCGGCTGGAGAGAAATAGTGAAAGACAGACGAATGAGCATAAGCATACACACACAAACACACACACATACGCATGCACACATTTTGACTGTGTGAGAGATCACATACTACTAAGAATAGTGGCATCACATAATACTAATCTCTATTTATTCACTATTTGCAGTGCATTCAGAAAGTATTCAGACCCCTTGACTTTTTCCACATTATGTTACGTTACAGCCTTATTCTAAAAAGTATTAAATTGTTTCTTCCCCATCATCAATCTACACACAATACCCCACAATGACAAAGCAAAAACATGTTTTTTGACATTTGTCCCCCGATTGCTCAGTTTGGCCGGGCAGCCTGCTCTAGGAAGAGTCTTGGTGGTTCCAAACTTCTTCCATTTAAGAATGATGGAGGCCACTGTGTTCTTGGGGACCTTCAATGCTGCAGAAATGTTTGGTACCCTTCACCAGATCTGTGCCTCGACACAATCCCGTCTCGGAGCTCTACGGACAATTCCTTCGACCTCATGGCTTGGTTTTGCTCTGACATGCACTGTCAACTGTGGGACCTTATATAGACAGGTGTGTGCCTTTCCAAATCTCAAGGATGATCAATGGAAACAGGATGCACCTGAGCTCAATTTCATGTCTGAATACTTACGCAAATAAGGTATTTCTGTTTTGTTTTTTTATACATTTGCAAAAATTTCTAAAAACCTGTTTTCACTGTGTCATTATGGGGTAATTGTCACGATCGTTGATGAACGAGAAGGACCAAGGCGCAGCGTGATATGCCAACATGTTTATTTAACGAATAAACACAACGACAAAACAATAAACTAACGATACGTGACGTCCTAAGGTACACACAACAAACCTCACACGGAACAAGATCCCACAACCCACTAGTGCCAATAGGCTGCCTATGTATTGTCCCCAATCAGAGACAACGAGCGACAGCTGCCTCTGATTGGGAACCACACCGGCCAACCTAGATCTAGACATACTAGAAAACCAACATAGAAATACACAACATAGAACATACACACCCTGACTCAACATATACGAGTCCCCTGAGTCAGGGCGTGACAGTACCCCCCCTCAAAGGTGCGGACTCCGACCGCGCAACATAAACATAACAGGGTAGAGGCCGGGTGGGCATTCCGCCTCGGAGGCGGATCCGGCTCCGGGCGTGACGACCTCTTACTCTCCGCCTCCCTGTTGCGCCCCTGGTCTGGTCTGGACCTCGGCGCGCTGCTTCCCCTCTTCTTCCTCCCACGAAGTACCAAGCCCTGTCTGGACCCTGGTGTGGGAGACCCCGAACCTGGAGAGGGGCGGACGTCTGGGTCTGGACTGGAACCGCTGACTGGAGCTGGACCCGACGACGGTGGAGCGAACTGCACAGGCTCCGGACTGGAGCCGCTGATCGGAGCTGGACTGGGCACCGGTGGAGCGGACTGCTCTGGCTCCGGAGTGGGCAAGCTGACCGGTGCCGGACCAGGCACCGGTGGAACAGGCACGGGCCGTGCTGGACTGGACACACGCACCACTGGCTTGGTGCGGGGAGCAGGAACGGACCGGACCGGGCTGGCGACGCGCACCACTGGCTTGGTGCGGGGAGCAGGAACGGGCCGTACCGGACTGGCGACGCGCACCACTGGCCTAGTGCGGGGAGCAGGAACAGGCCGGGCCGGGCTGGCGACGCGCACCACTGGCTTGGTGCGAGGGGCAGGAACAGGCCGGGCCGGGCTGGCGACGCGCACCACTGGCTTGGTGCGAGGGGCAGGAACAGGCCGGGCTGGCGACGCGCACCACTGGCTTGGTGCGAGGGGCAGGAACTGGTCGGGCCGTACTGGGAACACGCACCACTGGCTTAGTGCGGGGAGCAGGAACGGGCCGGACCGGACTGGCGACACGCACCACTTGATTGGTGCGAGGAGCGGGACTGGGATCCTTCATTAACCCCCGCTCCTTCTGCTGCCTAACCAGCTCCTCTCACCGTGCCTCTACACTTTCCTTCTGCTCCCTCTGAACCAATGGCCCCCCTAATCTGGTGGCCTCCTCTACTAACCAGCGGATCCGCCCTGTCGCGGCCTCCTGCTGCCTCGTCGTCCACACCGTGTGCCCCCCCAAAACATTTTTTTGGGATTGCCTCTACACCCTGATCAGGGCCTCCCTCTTTCTTGCCAGCTCCTCTCTCATCTCCTGCCAAGTCCATCCTCTCTGCTCCTCCTCGGCACATTGCTTGGTCCAGGTCAGGTGGGATCTTCTGTCACGATCGTTGATGAACGAGAAGGACCAAGGCGCAGCGTGATATGCCAACATGTTTATTTAACGAATAAACACAACGACAAAACAATAAACTAACGATACGTGACGTCCTAAGGTACACACAACAAACCTCACACGGAACAAGATCCCACAACCCACTAGTGCCAATAGGCTGCCTAAGTATTTTCCCCAATCAGAGACAACGAGCGACAGCTGCCTCTGATTGGGAACCACACCGGCCAACCTAGATCTAGACATACTAGAAAACCAACATAGAAATACACAACATAGAACATACACACCCTGACTCAACATATACGAGTGTCAGGGCGTGACAGTAATGAGGAAAAACATTTATTTAATCCATTTTAGAATAAGTCTGTAACGTAACAAAATGTGGAAAAAGTCAAGGGGTCTGAATACTTTCCGAATGCACTATATACCTCTGTCTCTCTCTCTCTGTCTCTCTGTCTACCTATCTTCTATCTCTCTCTTCTCTCTCTCTCTTCTCTCTCTGTCTCTCTGTCTATCTTCTATCTCTCTCTCTTCTCTCTGTCTCTCTCTCTCTTCTCTCTCTCTCTCTCTCTCTCTCTCTGTCTCTTCTCTCTCTGTCTCTCTCTCTCTCTCTCTCTCTTCTCTGTCTCTCTGTCTCTTCTCTCTCTGTCTCTCTCTCTCTCTCTCTCTCTTCTCTGTCTCTCTGTCTCTCTCTCTCTCTGTCTCTCTCTCTCTGTCTCTCTCTCTCTGTCTCTCTCTCTCTCTGTGTCTCTCTCTCTGCCTCTTTCTCTCTCTCTCTCTCTCTTCTCTGTCAATTCAATTCAATTTAAGGGCTTTATTGGCATGGGAAACATATATTTACATTGCCAAAGCAAGTGAAATAGATATTCAACAAAAGTGAAATAAACGATAACAAATTAACAGTAAACATTACACTCACAAACGTTCCAAAAGAATAAAGGCATTTCAAATGTCATATTATGTCTATATACAGTGTTATAATGATGTGCAAATAGTTAAAGTACAAAAATATAAATAAATAAACATACAGTTGAAGTCGGAACTTTACACACACTTAGGTTGGAGTCATTAAAACTCGTTTTTCAACCACTCCACAAATTTCTTGTTAACAAACTATAGTTTTGGCAAGTCGGTTAGGACATCTACTTTGTGCATGACACAAGTAATTTTTCCAACAATTGTTTACAAACAGATTATTTCACTTATAATTCAATGTTTCACAATTCCAGTGGGTCAGAAGTTTACATACACTAAGTTGACTGTGCCTTTAAACAGCTTGGAAAATTCCAGAAAATGATGTCATGGCTTTAGAAGCTTCTGATAGGCTAATTGACATCATTTGAGTCAATTAGAGGAGTACCTGTGGATGTATTTCAAGGCCTACCTTCAAACTCAGTGCCTCTTTGCTTGACATCATGGGAAAATCAAAAGAAATCAGCCAAGACCTCAGAAAAAACATTGTACACCTCTACAAGTCTGGTTCATCCTTGGGAGCAATTTCCAAACGCCTGAAGGTACCAGGTTCATCTGTACAAACAATAGTATGCAAGTATAAACACCATGGGACCACGCAGCCGTCATACCGCTCAGGAAGGAGACTCGTTCTGTCTCCTAGAGATGAATGTACTTTGGTGCAAATCAATCCCAGAACAACAGCAAAGGACCTTGTGAAGATGATGGAGGAAACAGGTAAAAAAGTATCTATTTCCACAGTAAAACGAGTCCTATTGTCACGACTGTCGGTGAGATGCGGTAAAAGAAGTCAGGCGCAGGACACAGAACTCTCGGACACGTACTTTAATCCGATAAGGATCCAAAAGGACACAGAAATAACTCCACGCAGGGAGGAAATAACCCGCTCACTAAAATGACAACCGTGAAGGGAAAAACAATCACACACAATGTCCTGATGAGAGACAGGGGTAATATAAGGGAAACAATTAAACATAATGACGAACAGGTGTAAACAATACAGACAAAACTAAACAACCACCGATAACATCGAACGGCAGTAGCTAGTACTCCGGGGATGACGAACGCCGAAGCCTGCCCGAGCAAGGAGGAGGAGCAGCCTCGGCAGAATCCGTGACACCTATATTGACATAACCTGAAAGGCCGCTCACCAAGGAAGAAGCCACTGCTCCAAAACCGCCATAAAAAAAGCCAGACTACGGTTTGGAACTGCACATGGGGACAAAGATTGTACTTTTTGAAGAAATGTCCTCTGGTCTGATGAAACAAAAATAGAACTGTTTGGCCATAATGTTTGGCCATTGTTACGTTTGGAGGAAAAAGGGGGTTCTTTGCAAGCCGAAGAACACCATCCCAACCGTGAAGCACGGGGGTGGAAGCATCATGCTGTGGGGGTGCTTTGCTGCAGTAGGGACTGGTGCACTTCACAAAATAGATGGTATCATGAGGAAGGAAAAATAGGTGGATATATTGAAGCAACATCTCAAGACATCAGTCAGGAAGTTAATGCTTGGTCGCAAATGGGTCTTCCAAATGAACAATGACCCCAAGCATACTTCCAAAGTTGTGGCAAAATGGCTTAAGGACATCAAAGTCAAGGTATTGGAGTGGCCATCAGAAATCCCTGACCTCAATCCTATAGAAAATTTGTGGGCAGAACTGAAAAAGTGTGTGCGAGCAAGGAGGCCTACAAACCTGACTCAGTTACACCAGCTCTGTCAGGAGGAATGGGCCAAAATTCAACCAACTTATTGTGGGAAGCTTGTGGAAGTCTACCTGAAATGTTTGACCCAAGTTAAACAATTTAAAGGCAATGCTACCAAATGCTAATTGAGTGTATGTAAACTTCTGACCCACTGCAAATGTGATGAAAGAAATAAAAGCTGAAATAAATCATTTTCTCTACTATTATTCTGACATTTCACATTCTTAAAATAAAGTGGTGATCCTAACTGACCTAAGACAGGGAATTTTTACTAGGATTAAATGTCAGGAATTGTGAAAAACTGAGTTTAAATGTATTTGGCTAAGGTGTATGTAAACTTCCGACTTCAACTCTAGGTTGTATTTACAATGGCGTTTGTTCTTCACCGGTTGCCATTTTCTTGTGGCAACAGGTCACAAATCTTGCTGCTGTGATTGCACACTGTGGTATTTCACCAAATAGACATGGGAGTTTATCCAAATTGGATTTGTTTTTTGAATTCTTTGTGGGTCTGTGTAATCTGAGGGATGTCTCTGTCTCCAATATGGTTATACATTTGGCAGGAAGTTAGGAAGTGCAGCACAGTTTCCACCTCATTTTGTGGGCAGTGTGCATATAGCCTGTCTTCTCTTGAGAGCCAGGTCTGCCTACGGCGGCCTTTCTCAATAGCAAGGCTATGCTCACTGAGTCTGTACATAGTCAAAGCTTTCCTTCATTTTCGGTCAGTCACAGTGGTCAGGTATTCTGCCACTGTGTACTCTCTGTTTAGGGCCAAATAGCATTCTAGTTTGCTCCATTTATTTGTAAATTCTTTCCAATGTGTCAAGTAATTCTCTTTTTGTTTTCTCATGATTTGGTTGGGTCTAATTGTGTTGCTCTCCTGGGGCTCTGTGGGGTCTGTTTGTGTTTGTGAACAGAGCCCCAGGACCAGCTTGCTTAGGGGACTCCTCTCCATGTTCATCTCTCTGTAGGTGATGGCTTTGTTCTGGAAGGTTTGGGAATCACTTCCTTTTAGGTGGTTGTAGAATTTAATGGCTCTTTTCTGGATTTTGCTCATTAGCGGGTATTGGCCTAATTCTGCTCTGCATGCATTATTTGGTGTTTTACGTTGTACACTGAGGATATTTTTTTGCTGAATTCTGCATGCAGAATCTCAATTTGGTGTTTGTCCCATTTTGTGAATTATTGGTTGGTGAGTGGACCCCAGACCTCACAACCATAAAGGGCAATGGGTTCTATAACTGATTCAAGTATTTTTTGCCAGATCCTAATTGGTATGTGGAATTTTATGTTCCTTTTGATGGCATAAAAGGCCCTTCTTGCCTTGCCTCTCTCTCAGATCGTTCACAGCTTTGTGGAAGTTACCTGTGGCGCTGATGTTTAGGCCGAGGTATGTATAGTTTTTTTGTGTGCTCTAGGGCAATGGTGTCTAGATGGAATTTGTATTTGTGGTCCTGGCAACTGGACCTTTTTGGAACACCATTATCTTTGTCTTACTGAGATGTACTGTCAGGGCCCAGGTTTGACAGAATCTGTTTAGAAGATCTAGGTGCTGCTGTAGGCCCTCCTTGGTTGGGGACAGAAGCACCAGATCATCAGCAATCAGTAGACATTTGACTTCAGACTCTAGTAGGGTGAGGCCGGGTGCTGCAGACTGTTCTAGTGCCCTCGCCAATTCGTTGATATATATGTTGAAGAGGGTGGGGCTTAAGCTGCATCCCTGTCTCACCCCACGGCCCTGTGGAAAGAAATGTGAGTGCTTTTTGCAAATTTTAACCGCACACTTGTTGTTTGTGTACATGGATTTTATAATGTCGTATGTTTTTCCCCCAACACCACTTTCCTTCAATTTGTATAGCAGACCCTCATGCCAAATTGACTGTCTCTCTCTCTGTCTCTCTCTCTCTCTCTCTCTCTGTCTCTTCTCTCTCTAGCTCTCTCTCTTCTCTCTCGCTCTCTCTCTTCTCGGTCTCTCTATCGGTCTCTTCTCTCTCTGTCTGTCTCTCTCTCTCTGTCTCTGTCTCTTCTCTCTCTTTGTCTCTCTCACTGTCTCTCTGTCTCTCTCTCTGTCTCTTCTCTCTCTGCCTCTCTCTCTCTTTCTGCCTCTCTCTCTGCCTCTCTGTGTGTACTCACACTGTATGGCCAGAGCAGCCAGCTGGGCGCTGATGTCGAGGGGACAGGGGATTCTACCCTGTAGTACGTCCTGCTTCACCTGCAGGAAGAACTGGTACCTACAGTACCCAGAGACACACACAGACACACATCCATATAGCACATGAAATACAGTACAAGCTATTTCATATTGCCATAGATAAGGACACAACAAGCAGACAGATACGGTCCACCTGTACTCTGCTTGTAAGCTTTTATACTGTATGTGTGACTGGATGATTGTTCAATGATATACAGTATAGCAGGGGTAGGCAACACCGGTCCTGGAGTGCCACAGGCACTTCATGTTTTTGGTTTAACTGACCTGGAAGACCAGGTGTGTTGAATTTAGGCAATCCCTGAACTGATCAATTAGCTCAGTTGGTCAGGTGTGGTGCCTAGTTGGAACAAAATCCTGCAGTACCTGCGTCACTCCAGGAACATGGTTGCCTACCTCTGATATATAGCATAGCAGCCACCATGATATTATGTGGAGAAATCTAGTACTTTACCAATAAGTCATACCTTGTTATTTCTTCTTTTAGCTTGCAGGGATTCTCAGCGTAAAACTTGACCCCAAAATAGAGTGTGTATGGAGGCCCTGCTGAGAGAGAGAGAGAGAGAGAGAGAGAGAGAGAGATTTCAGCAGCAGTTGCAAACTTCTACTTCAAGTCACTGTCTGTATCCAAACAGCTGAGAGGCATTCAACTCAACTGAATGCAGAGAAAGGAAGAGATACTTACTTGTTATTAAATCTTTGTGTTCTGAAAGGGTTTTTGAGGGGTCTAGCCAATACTGCAAACAAAAAACACAGAGAAGACATTCAAATTACATACATAAATGACTGTCATAATGATTATTTGTTTACATAAGTAGTACCATACGTAATATACGATATGTAACTAGTAGTCTATGTGTACAGTAACAAATACAGAATACACTGTAACAAACTACCTGGAGCATGAGTATTCAGTCATCTCGGTTAACCCAGAACTAAAGTGTTGCGTAATGGGTCAGATGCTCAATTAAGTTCTGGGTCCATAAGTGTTAAGAGAAGAGATAGAATGATGATCGGAACCGGAACGAAGAGCTCCACCCTCTCTCTTTGCAAGTTACGGGCGAGTCTATGAAACAAATGTCCCCTCCCCTTCCAAAATTCAAAAGATGCTAACACCTGTGAAAATCGTGATTTGTCCAAATAACCAGTGATGGAAAAACCCAAGCACCGGAACTAAATGCTGCTGATCTTACGCATCCCGTTGTATCATGAAAGATCTACGGTACCCTTTATATTTTCGTAGTCTGTCCACGATTGATTAAGTATTCAGAAATTGGCTGGAAGAAATGAAGAAATGCACTTTGTTATGTAAAATCATGGCTGAGCGGTCTATGCAGTGTGTGTAGTATAGTGTGCAGTCAGTGTATTGGATGGGACTCAGGCAGCTCCAGAGAGGGACGTTTAGTCATGCTAACTCTGGCATAATAGTGAAGCTGCATTAAAACCAACTTTAATAAACTGTCTCGTTAAAAAGGAGTGTGAGTCATTAAAATCTGCATCAATAAAACATGGATTTAGAACAGGTCACAGCATGCTGCCACAGAGGCAAAAATAAAACACATCAAGCTTATTTTCCATTGGCTTTTATTAATGATCTAAATACTGTACTGGCATTTTGGATTTGCAAGATATTTTTTATCTTGTTGGACCTCTGGCTCTCACATCAATGAACATCTGATTTGGGAAGCTTCCTGCAAGACTGCCTGGCTTACTGTGCACAATGTCCTTATGCCACGTTGATGGTGCACATTAAATTATTATTTTTATATATTTTTATATTAGAGGGTAGATCAGCTTTAATATTGCAGATAGATTGTGGCTTCAATCAATGTAATTGTCTGCATCATTTCCAATCCCCCATTATATATATTTTTGTAAATATATATATGTATAACTATTATATATATACACTACCGTTCAAAAGTTTAGGGTCACTTAGAAATGTCCTTGTTTTCGAAAGAAAAGCATTTTTTTTGTCCATTAAAATAACATCAAATTGCTCAGAAATCCAGTGTAGACATTGTTAATGTTGTAAATGGCTATTGTAGCTGGAAACTGCTGATTTTTAATGGAATATCTACATAGGCGTACAGAGGCCCGTTATATATACTACCGTTCAAAAGTTTGGGTTCACTTAGAAATGTGTTCCAATGGCACGTTGTGTTTGCTAATCCGAGTTTATCATTTTAAAAGGCTAATTGATCATTAGAAAACCCTTTTGCAATTATGTTAGCACAGCTGAAAAATGTTGTGCTGATTAAAGAAGCAATAAAACTGGCCTTCTTGAGACTAGTTGAGTATCTGGAGCATCAGCAATTGTGGGTTCGATTACAGGCTCAAATTGGCCAAAAACAAATAACTTTCTTCTGAAACTCGTCAGTCTATTTTTGTTCTGAGAAATGAAGGCTATTCCATGTGAGAAATTGCCAAGAAACTGAAGATCTCGCTCAACGCTGTGTACTACTCCCTTCACAGAACAGCGCAAACTGGCTCTAACCAGAATAGAAAGAGGAGTGGGAGGCCCCGGTGCACAACTGAGCAAGAAGACAAATACATTAGAGTGTCTAGTTTGAGAAACAGACGCCTCACAGTTCCTCAACTGGCAGCTTCATTAAATAGTACCCACAAAACACCAGTCTCAACGTCAACAGTGAAGAGGCGACTCCCGTATGCTGACCTTCTAGGCAGAGTTGCAAAGAAAAAGCCATATCTCAGACTGGCCAATAACAAGAAATGATTAAGATGTGCAAAAGAACACAGACACTGGACAGAGGAAGATTGGAAAAAAGTGTTATGGACAGACAAATCGAAGTTTGAGGTGTTCGGATCACAAAGAAGAACATTTGTGAGACGCAGACCAAATGAAAATATGCTGGAGGAGTGCTTGATGCCATCTGTCAAGCATGGTGGAGGCAGTGATGGTCTGGGGGTGCTTTGGTTGTGGTAAAGTGGGAGATTTGTACAGGGTAAAAAGGATATTGAAGAAGGAAGGCTATCACTCCATTTTGCAACGCCATGCCATACGCTGTGGACGGCGCTTGATTGGAGCCAATTTCTTCCTACAACAGGACAATGACCCAAAGCACAGCTCCAAACTATGCAATAACTATTAAGGGAAGAAGCAGTCAGCTGGTATTCTGTCTATAATGGAGTGGCCAGCACAGTCACTAGATCTCAACCCTATTGAGCTGTTGTGGGAGTAGCTTGACCGTATGGTACATAAGAAGTGCCCATCAAGCCAATCCAACTTGTAGGAGATGCTTCAGGAAGCATGGGGTGAAATCTCTTCAGATTAGCTCAACAAATTGACAACTAGAATGCCAAAGGTCTGCAAGGCTGTAATTGCTGCAAATGGAGGATTCTTTGACGAAAGCAAAGTTTGAAGGACACAATTATTATTTCAATTAATAATCATTATTTCTAACCTTATCAATGACTACATTTCCTATTCATTTTGCTATATTTCCTATTCAAACTCATTTAATGTATGTTTTCATGGATAACAAGGACATTTCTAAGTGACCCCAAACTTTTGAACGGTTGTATATACAGTGGGGAGAACAAGTATTTGATACACTGCCGATTTTGCAGGTTTTCCTACTTACAAAGCATGTAGAGGTCTGTAATTTTTATCATAGGTACACTTCAACTGTGAGAGACGGAATCTAAAACAAAAATCCAGAAAATCACATTGTATGATTTTTAAGTAATTGATTTGCATTTTATTGCATGACATAAGTATTTGATACATCAGAAAAGCAGAACTTAATATTTGGTACAGAAACCTTTGTTTGCAATTACAGAGATCATACGTTTCCTGTAGGTCTTGACCAGGTTTGCACACACTGCAGCAGGGATTTTGGCCCACTCCTCCATACATACCTTCTCCAGATCCTTCAGGTTTCGGGGCTGTCGCTGGGCAATACGGGCTTTCAGCTCCCTCCAAAGATGTTCTATTGGGTTCAGGTCTGGAGACTGGCTAGGCCACTCCAGGACCTTGAGATGGTTCTTACGGAGCCACTCCTTAGTTGCCCTGGCTGTGTGTTTCGGGTCGTTGTCATGCTGGAAGACCCAGCCACGACCCATCTTCAATGCTCTTACTGAGGGAAGGAGGTTGTTGGCCAAGATCTCGCGAAACATGGCCCCATCCATCCTCCCCTCAATACGGTGCAGTCGTCCTGTCCCCTTTGCAGAAAAGCATCCCCAAAGAATGATGTTTCCACCTCCATGCTTCACGGTTGGGATGGTGTTCTTGGGGTTGTACTCATCCTTCTTCTTCCTCCAAACACGGCGAGTGGAGTTTAGACCAAAAAGCTTTATTTTTGTCTCATCAGACCACATGACCTTCTCCCATTCCTCCTCTGGATCATCCAGATGGTCATTGGCAAACTTCAGACGGGCCTGGACATGCGCTGGACTGAGCAGGGGGACCTTGCATGCGCTGCAGGATTTTAATCCACGACGGCGTAGTGTGTTACTAATGGTTTTCTTTAAGACTGTGGTCCCAGCTCTCTTCAGGTCATTGACCAGGTCCTGCCGTGTAGTTCTGGGTTGATCCCTCACCTTCCTCATGATCATTGATGCCCCACGAGGTGAGATCTTGCATGGAGCCCCAGACCGAGGGTGATTGACCGTCATCTTGAACTTCTTCCATTTTCTAATAATTGCGCCAACAGTTGTTGCGTTCTCACCAAGCTGCTTGCCTATTGTCCTGTAGCCCATCCCAGCCTTGTGCAGGTCTACAATTTTATCCCTGATGTCCTTACACAGCTCTCTGGTCTTGACCATTGTGGAGAGGTTGGAGTCTGTTTGATTGAGTGTGTGGACAGGTGTCTTTTATACAGGTAACGAGTTCAAACAATTGCAGTTAATACAGGTAATGAGTGGAGAACAGGAGGGCTTCTTAAAGAAAAACTAACAGGTCTGTGAGAGCCGGAATTCTTACTGGTTGGTAGGTGATCAAATACTTATGTCATGCAATAAAATGCAAATTAATTACTTAAAAATCATACAATGTGATTTTCTGGATTTTTGAAGTGTACCTATGATATAAATTACAGACCTCTACCTGCTTTGTAAGTAGGAAAACCTGCAAAATCGGCAGTGTATCAAATACTTGTTCTCCCCACTGTATATATAATAGTTATCTTTTGTTTGTTTTTAGTCCCATCTTTCAGCTACCGTCAACCCCTCCCATCTATCTCTGAAGACCATCAAGTTTTTATGCATAATACTTAATAATGTGACATAAGTGCTTGAATGAAAAGCAATGCACAGTACTTCCTGCAAGACAGCTTGTTACCATGTTTATGTCACACCGATTATGCATGATACTTAATAATATGACATAACATAAAGTGGTTGAGAGAAAAGCAGAGTACACTTAGGTCAGTCCCACCAAACCTCAGCTGTAGGTTTAGATTAGAACATCCTGTTTTGGATCTTTCTTTTATACTACTCTTGTTATTCCGTTATTGGATGTATTAAACCGCTATTCTGTTTACTGCTTTTAACAGCCTCTTCAGCGCCTAATCAGTGAGAATGTTCAATGCTGCTCTGAAGACATATCAGATATCAAATCAAATCAAATTTTATTGGTCACATACACGTGTTTAGCAGATGTTATTGCGGGTGTAGCGAAATGCTTGTGTTTCTATCTCCGACAGTGCAGTAATATCTAACAAGTAATATCTAACAATTTCACAGTGTTTATCACTGGTTATAGCCATAGACACATACTGTACATACTGTATATTCATGTGTTTATCACTGGTTATAGCAGCTACTGTGCAGTGGTGTCTATTTGTGGGATGTTGTCGAGCTTCTTATGATCATGAATGCAAACTGCTATTTTCAAATAATTGTTGTGGAGGTCATTGTGAAATTCAAACTGCAATTTTCAAATCATTGTTGTGGAGCTCGTTGTGAATGCTAACGGCTATTTTCAAATCTTTATTTGCAGTGTTGTCACAGTGAGGCCTTGCTTTGCTGTGATATTGTGTCAGAGCTCACAATGTCATTGCATCTCATGCCTCTCCGGTGATAAACACAGTGATAAACAACAGTCTGTTCACTTCCCATCAACATCAGACACCGGCAGCAAACATTCAAAACAAACGTGAGTGCCTTTTTTCACACAGTTACACAAAACAGCATAAGGATTTAGCTCTTTTAAAAATGAGACTGAAATAAATATTATTATTCACTCAATGTTTTCTGCTTTAGCTTGACTGTAGGGCATGGTAGTTGATATCGCGTTACGGAAACTGCTTACATTTCTACTATAAATTAATAGCACCGCACCCCTTGCATGAAGAAACAGCTTCAAGTCCTGTTTTATATGCATTCCATTTATTTGTATGCGAATTTCTGGAGATGTTGCTACTAGCCAAGCTGAAGATGGAAATTGTTAGAGGAGGGGAGGATGGAATCTTTTGATTCTGGGGCATTATGGGGGATGGAGATGAATAAATGTTAGCGCAATGAGGTAGGCTAGACTAGGATAACCTATTTCAAACTAAAGTATGTCACTGAAAGATGCTGTGTGGCGCACCCTCGCCATTCCCTCCCACCTAAACCCTCACCACACCACACCACACTACAGATGGGCACCAGGGCTGTATTCATTAGGGCACATCGTAGCAAAGTGTAGCAAAACGTTTTTAATGGAAAATCTAAAACGAGTGTTTCTTATTGGACAAGTTCAAGTAGTCCCTCCCTGTTTCAGTCCATTTTCTTTTGTTTTGTGCCTAATGAATACGACCCAGAACACACCAGAACAGATATTGGTGACCAGGGGAACGTGATTAAAGCTATGTCTGTGTGACTGAATTAGAATAAGTTAACTGAATTAGTAAATCTTATCTAATTTGCAATAATCACATCAGTGCAGCTGTTGTGTTCCAGTGTATGCTAATTTATGCAAATGAGGGGGTTGAGGATTAGAACACTGGCTGACAGTGACAGGGCGTCAGCCATCGCCATGGACAACCAGACAAAGACAGAGGGGTTTCACTCAGAAAGACAGCCTGAGCAACAATCTACTTCTTATTTCTCTAACTGGCAGTCATCTTCCAATGAACAGCGACTGACTGGAAGAGAACAGAGTAAGAAAACATTTGGTAACACATTACTTAGCAAATAACCTTACACTCTTAGAAAAAAGGGTTCCAAAAGGGTTATTTTGCTGTCCCCATAGGAGAACCCTTTTTGGTTCTAGGTAGAACCCTTTTGGGTTCCATGTAGAACCCTCTTTGGTAAGGGTTCTACAAGGAACCCAAAAGAGTTCTACCTGGAACCAAAAAGGGTTCTTCAAATGGTTCTACTATGGGGATAACCGAAGAACCCTTTTGGGTTCTAGATAACACCTTTTTTCTAAGAGTGTATACATTACAGCAGGTACTGTGTATAGTACAGACAGTCAATGGGCTACATCTATGTGCATTCATGGCACCTGCACAAAGCCCTTCCAGATCTATTTATATTTTTATATCTGTTCAACTGCAAGATTTATTGAACACCTCAAGGATTTTTATTACATGGGTGTTCTATCTATCAGTATGAGAAAGGCATGTCATTCTGACCTCCAGCACCGCTCAGTGCGCCAAGTGACTAAAACTGATAAATAATAGAATGATAGATAATAAATACATTAAAAGGCTCTGTCATCATGAGGCAGACTGCCCAGACCATGATGCACCATTTCAACAGGAAGCTGAGTTATGACAGTTTGATTGGCAGGCCGGACTGAGAGGCCCAGGCTCTGTGCTAATATCTCTACTTTAGTTCTAGAATGAAGAATGATCCACTAGAATGAACTAAGCAATGTATTGGGAATGCATTCTAAGTGGTGTGCTAGTGTAGATATTGGAGCATTCTGTAACCTCAGTCATCTTACTACACTTCAGCCTCAATATTATGGAGGGTTACACCAGGAGAGGGCATTGATATTGTAATGAAGGGTATAGCTAGCAGGCAGGCAGCCCCATATAAATGACAGAGAAGTCTCTCTAAATGGATAGGTTTTGATTATGGGCCTGCTGCTCCATGCACAGACACTAAAAGTCTCTCTGCTCTCTGACACACAATAACAGCGAAACAGCTCCAATATGTTGGTATGTCGTTTACGACTCCAGAGGGTAGGAATGATGTGAATGTGCATGCTGATGCTTGCAAGCTCTTGGGTCTAATAGTACCCAAGCACAGGGAGGATAACCTGCCATAAACAACATAGCTATGTGTATACATTGGTATGATAGAATGATTCCCAAAACTTTTATGCAAAACCTGAAAGTGTAAAGGCATTTATTTTTTAAATCTAATAAGACTATTTTCTCCAGAAGGATTCAGTAGCTTAGATGCATTCTCTGTGCTCATCTCCAAAAAAACAAGGTTGGCTAACCTTCTAAATCACATCCCTCAGTCAAACATAGTTCAACATCAAATCAGTGTTCCAGCGATTTATCACCTCTATCCTAACAGGATACTGGTTGTCAGGCATACCTACAGCATGGAGATAAACTCAATCTTTTGGAGATAAACTGGAACAACACACCATTGAGAAAAACAAGAGTGAAGGTGGAAAACAAGAGAAAGACATTCGCCATGGATACAGTTAATATTAGAAGTTATACCATTAGAATTATCGACAGCGAGATTGAATGGTGCCAGTCAAGGAACAATTGAGGCCTGGACAAATATACTTGACTCTGTAAAGAATCATCTTTATTTTATTTATTTAACCTTTATTTAACTAGGCATGTCCGTTAAGACCAAATTCTTATTTACAATGGCGGCCTACCCCGGCCAAACCCTCCCCTAACCCGGACGACGCTGGGCCAATTGTGCGCCGCCCTATGGGACTCCCGATCACGGCCGGTTGTGATACAGCCCGGGATCGAACCCGGGTCTGTAGTGACACCTGTCACTACAGACCTGCGCCACTAAGGATCCCAATCTCAGCTAAAGCTAAACTATCTTTGCTTTCAGGCCCACGGGGAAGGGGTGGTATGGGCAGGGTTTTCTCTGGTGGCCGGGAGGAGGGTGGGGCAGTGGGGGGGTGGTGGGTGACTGACGAGCAACCCTAGTTGATAGGTGGGTGGGAAACGGTCTCTGGGAGTGGGGGGTGGGGGCAGTGGTGTTAAGTACTGGTTAAAAGTACTTAAGTCGTTTTTTGGGGTATCTGTACTTTACTTTACTATTTATTTTCTGACAACTTTTACTTTTCCTTCACTACATTCCTAAAGAAAATAATATACTTTTTACTTCATACATTTTCCCTGACACTCAAAAGTTCTTGCTACATTTTGCATGGCTAGCAGGACAGGAAAATGGTCCAATTCACGCACTTATCAAGAGAACATCCCTGGCCATCCTTATTGCCTCTGGTCTGGCGGACTCACTGAACATAAATGCTTTGTTTGGAAATTATGTGTTGGAGTGTGCCGCTGGCTATCCGTACATTTTAAAAACAAGAAAAAGGTGCCGTCTGGTTTGTTTAATATAAGGAATTTTAAATGATTTATACTTTTACTTTTACTTTCAATACTTAAGTATATTTGAGCAATTACATTTACTTTTGATACTTAAGTATATTTCAAACCAAATACGTTTAGACTTTTACTCATGTAGTATTTTACTGGGTGACTTTCACTTTTACTTGAGTAATTTTCTATTAAGGTATCTTTACTTTTACTCAAGTATGACAATTGGGTACTTTTTCCACCACTGGGTGGGGGGTTGGATGGAGACATGGGGGCTGGGTGGAGTTGGGGGAACGGGATGTGAGGTTGAATGGAGACATGGTGGCTGGGTGGGGTTGGGGGAACGGGATGGGAGGTTGAATGGAGACATGGTGGCTGGGTGGGGTTGGGGGAACGGGATGGGAGGTTGAATGGAGACATGGTGGCTGGGTGGGGTTGGGGGAACAGGATGGGAGGTTGGGGATGGAGACATGGTGGTGGGGTTTGGGGGGAACGGGATAGGAGGTTGGGGATGGAGACATGGTGGCTGGGTGGGGTTGGGGGAACGGGATAGGAGGTTGGGGGTGGAGACATGGTGGCTGGGTGGGGTTGGGGGAACGGGATAGGAGGTTGGGGGTGGAGACACGGTGGCTGGGTGGGGTTGGGGGGAATGGGATGTGAGGTTGGGGTGGAGACATGGTGGTTGGGGAGAACGGGATAAGAGGATGGGGGTGGAGACATGGTGGCTGGGTGGGGTTGGGGGAACGGGATGGGAGGTTGGGGGTGAAGGCCCACTTATTTTTCTTTTCTTTTCCTGTTTATAACAAACTCTGTATGTATTTCTTACTGATTTATTTGTCTTTCTTTTGAGTGGCAGCCTACAGGTACGTTTTATAAACGTATAATTTGAAATGGATAATGTACCTGTGAGTATTTTGGGGTAAGTCTCTAAGAGCTTTGCACACCTGGATTGTGCAATATTTTCCCATTATTCTTTTCAAAATTCTTCAAGCTCTGTTGATCATTGCTAGACAGCCATTTTCAAGTATTGCCATAGATTTTCAAGCAGATTTCAGTCAAAACTGTTACTAGGCCACTCAGGAACATTCACTGTCTTCTTGCTAAGCAACTCCAGTGTAGATTTGGCCTTGTGTTTTAGGTTATTGTCCTACTGAAAGGTGAATTTGTCTCCCAGTGTCTGGTGAAAAGCAGACTGAACCAGGTTTTTTCTCTAAGATTTAACCTGTGCTTAGCTGCATTCCATTAATTTTTATCCTGAAAAACTCCCCAGTTCTTGCAGATGACAAGCATACCCTATAACATGATGCAGCCACCACCATTCTTGAAAATACAAAGAGTGGTACTCAGTGATGTGTTGTGTTGGATTTGCCCCAAACATAACACTTTGTATTCAGGCCAAAAAGTTAATTCCTTTGCCACATTTCTTGCTGTGTTACTGTAGTGCCTTGTTGCAAACAGAATGCATGTTTTGAAATATTTTTAGTCTGTACCGGTTTCCTTTATTTCACTCTGTCATTTAGGTTAATATTGTGGATTTACTACAATGTTGTTGATCCATACTCAGTTTTCTTCTTTCACAGCCATCAAACTCCGTAACAGTTTTAAAATTAAAATTAAATAACAACAAAAAAGAAAGAGAGAGATAGAGAGACGGCGATATATAGAGGGAGGTGGGGAGAGAGGGAGAAGGATAGAAAGACGGAGAGAGAGAGATGGAGATGGAGAGAGGACAGAAGAGAAAAGAAAAGAAAAAAGCAATAAGAAAAAAGAAAGAAAAAAAAGAAAGAACTCCAAGCAGACAGAAAACAGCGACTAGAACTTATCTCTGTGTCTTTGTTCTGGTTTGGGCCGTCTCCGCTCTCTCCGCTCTTCTGCTCGCTCTCTCTGCCCATTCTCCCTCCTCCCTCCCTCCCACAGCCAGCTCCCTCCCTCCCTCACGCCCTCCCTCCCTCCGACCCCTCCCTCCGCCCAGCCCTCCCCCCTCAAGAAACAACAATTGAGCTTTGTAGGTTACAGGGATGTGAGTAAACAATGTAAGAATCCTCTCTTGTTCTGGGTGTGTGCTAATAGTGGATAGTACATGTTAGGGCATAGGCTACATACAACAAGCCAAACAGACAGTGATGCTGGCGTTCCAACATTTTCAGTCTCCTTTCACAGTTTTTCTTTCATCCTGCGCTAGTCTGACGATAAATCAGGGCTTGGCCGACAGCCCCCAGAAGGCATTGCACAGGATACCGCCCATCCATGTGAGAGAGAGATGGGGACGTTGGGAGAGTATGTATGCGTCCTAAATGGCACACTATTTCCTTAATAGTCCACTACTTTTGACCAGAGCCCTATGGGCCCCGGTCAAATGTAGTGCACTACATAGGGAGTAGGGCACCATTTAGGACACAGATATGATTGTGTTCTTTTATGGCTCTGTACTCTGACTAACCCTGAGTGTGTGTAGCCCTGGGGCCCTGCATGGGTTATTACTACTCCTCCCCAGCCCTACTCTACCCTATCATGGGCTGGGCCTGCGTGGGACGCTCTGTGATGGCACCTTCTGTAGGAACGACATGACAGAGGATGACCCCTGGCCAATATTCACAGAGCTGTTGTCTTTACAGAATAATAATTCCTTCTATTTTCACTTTGACTGGGGCAAGCTGAAGCTCTACCCTCTTCAGATATCTAAACCAGACTTGAGGGGAAATAACCTTCCTAACACTTTGATGAGTGTATATGAAGGAACAAAATAATCTCTGCGCCATTCATAATGTAATGTCATAAGCATGTCATAGCCATTCATAATGTAATGTCATAAGCATGTCATAGCCATTCATAATGTAATGTCATAAGCATGTCATAGCCATTCATAATGTAATGTCATAAGCATGTCATAGCCATTGATAATGTAATGTCATAAGCATGTCATAGCCATTCATAATGTAATGTCATAAGCATGTCATAGACATTCATAATGTAATGTCATAAGCATATCATAGCCATTCATAATGTAATGTCATAAGCATGTCATAGCCATTCATAATGTAATGTCATAAGCATATCATAGCCATTCATAATGTAATGTCATAAGCATGTCATAGCCATTCATAATGTAATGTCATAAGCATGTGATAGCCATTCATAATGTAATGTCATAAGCATGTGATAGCCATTCATAATGTAATGTCATAAGAATGTCATAGCCATTCATAATGTAATGTCATAAGCATGTCATAGCCATTCATAATGTAATGTCATAAGCATGTCATAATGCATAAAGCCTTCCCTGGTCTACTGTGAGATTATCAGTGGTGTGCTGAGATACTGTCACTCACATGAACACACATTCATATACACATTCATTTATTAATGTATATATTATACATATAACTATGTTCATATAAATCACTGGTGACTCACCGTCTGGTGGCTGTGGTCACAGTAGCGCAGCCCGAAGTAGTCTGTCTCTGCCAGCTTCACATGGTTGAACACAAAGTCCAGCACCACCGAAGCCTTAGTAGACTTCTGTGGAACACAAAGAGTTTTGGAATCAGTGTCTGAGTCAGAGGCAAACATGTTGCCATGCAAAGACATCAAGTTGATGTCAGTGTTTTTACTTATGGAATAAAAACTGGGTGGATGTCAAATTATAGCTATTAATACATTCTGAGGCAACAGGCAAAGTATTCTGAAATACCATGGTGGGCTTCTGTACTGACAGTCATGTTTTGAAGAACAAATAGCTTCAACAATATATGGCGTATACAGTATAGTTCTTATTTTATTCTGAGGAGAGAGATAGTCTCTCTTTCAGTTGTCTGTGTCTGGATTTAGAAATAGCATAAAGAGACTCTGTAAGAGAGTAGACCTACAGTGGGGAGAACAAGTATTTGATACACTGCCGATTTTGCAGGTTTTCCTACTTACAAAGCATGTAGAGGTCTGTAATTTTTATCATAGGTACACTTCAACTGTGAGAGACGGAATCTAAAACAAAAATCTAGAAAATCACATTGGATGATTTTTAAGTAATTAATTTGCATTTTATTGCATGACATAAGTATTTGATACATCAGAAAAGCAGAACTTAATATTTGGTACAGAAACCTTTGTTTGCAATTACAGAGATCATATGTTTCCTATAGGTCTTGACTAGGTTTGCACACACTGCAGCAGGGATTTTGGCCCATTCCTCCATACAGACCTTCTCCAGATCCTTCAGGTTTCGAGGCTGTCGCTGGGCAATACGGACTTTCAGCTCCCTCCAAAGATTTTCTATTGGGTTCAGGTCTGGAGACTGGCTAGGCCACTCCAGGACCTTGAGATGCTTCTTACGGAGCCACTCCTTAGTTGCCCTGGCTGTGTGTTTCAGGTCGTTGTCATGCTGGAAGACCCAGCCACGACCCATCTTCAATGCTCTTACTGAGGGAAGGAGGTTGTTGGCCAAGATCTCACGATACATGGCCCCATCCATCCTCCCCTCAATACGGTGCAGTCGCCTGTCCCCTTTGCAGAAAAGCATCCCCAAAGAATGATGTTTCCACCTCCATGCTTCACGGTTGGGATGGTGTTCTTGGGGTTGTACTCATCCTTCTTCTTCCTCCAAACATGGCGAGTGGAGTTTAGACCAAAAAGCTCTATTTTTGTCTCATCAGACCACATGACCTTCTCCCATTCCTCCTCTGGATCATCCAGATGGTCATTGGCAAACTTCAGATGGGCCTGGACATGCGCTGGCTTGAGCAGGGGGACCTTGCATGCTCTGCAGGATTTTAATCCATGACAGCGTAGTGTGTTACTAATGGTTTTCTTTGAGACTGTGCTCCCAGCTCTCTTCAGGTCATTGACCAGGTCCTGCCGTGTAGTTCTGGGCTGATCCCTCACCTTCCTCATGATCATTGATGCCCCACGAGGTGAGATCTTGCATGGAGCCCCAGACCGAGGGTGATTGACCGTCATCTTGAACTTCTTCCATTTTCAAATAATTGCGCCAACAGTTGTTGCCTTCTCACCAAGCTGCTTGCCTATTGTCCTGTAGCCCATCCCAGCCTTGTGCAGGTCTACAATTTTATCCCTGATGTCCTTACACAGCTCTCTGGTCTTGGCCATTGTGGAGAGGTTGGAGTCTGTTTGATTGAGTGTGTGGACAGGTGTCTTTTATAAAGGTAACGAGTTCAAACAGGTGCAGTTAATACAGGTAATGAGTGGAGAACAGGAGGGCTTCTTAAAGAAAAACGAACAGGTCTGTGAGTGCCGGAATTCTTACTGGTTGGTAGGTGATCAAATACTTATGTCATGCAATAAAATGCAAATTAATTACTTAAAAATCATACAATGTGATTTTCTAGATTTTTGTTTTAGATTCCGTCTCTCACAGTTGAAGTGTACCTATGATAAAAATTACAGACCTCTACATGCTTTGTAAGTAGGAAAACCTGCAAAATCGGCAGTGTATCAAATACTTGTTCTCCCCACTGTATGTCTCCAGGAAAATATGAATTAGATATAAATTATTACTTTGCTAAGCAGCGAAAACTGCCTTCCACTGCAATTCACACACCTCATAGTGCCTCTCATTACCATTTCTGAGGCTTACAAAAGCAATCTGCTAAAAGAAAGAATATTAGGACTCTGATTTAAGTATGAATCAGACAAACCCTGGTTACAGGAGAATTTCCAGAACACCTACACCACTGTTGCAAGATAATAAAATCTATATCTCCTTTGTAGGGTGAAGAAAAATCGTTGACTGTATCTTAGCTCAGTCAGCATTTTAGCTTTCTCTTGTAGGTACAGCATCAATCCAAATGTATCCACTGACAATATAAGTATTTATTCCGATGGAAAACCAATCATGGATCACACCAAGCAATCCCCATTGGCCTCAGCGCGGAGCACAACCCAACCAAACCATCCTCTCTCTCACCTGCATTTAAAATGTTTCTTTACATTTATCCTGAGGGCAATCTGATTGGCTACATCCCAAGAGAGGAAATTAATATCTAGTGTGGAGGCATCGATGCCTGTAATGAAAGATGGGGCTTTACTCACAGCTAACATCATCTCAAGGTGAGTCTGAAACACAAACACCGACCACACTCACATTCCAAACCAACCCAGGGTTTCCTACCGTCCTCTCTTTACTTTCCATCTGAAAGTCAACACACACGGACACACGCTCAATTCCCTGGGGTATGATGGAGAGGTCATATCGGGTGGATCATTGACAGACCAGCGGTGTATCTGCATTGTGTTTGTGTTCTTTAACAGGACACCAGCATCAGTCTTGGCTGGAAGACATCTCTCTCTTTACCTAATTATCTCTGTTTGCTCTTGACACAGAGGAGGAAACTGTGTGTGTGTGTGTGTGCGTGTGTGCGCGTGCTTGTATGTGTGTGTGTGCGTGCGTGTGTGTATGTTTCTCTCTGACTGCTCTTCTGAACCACAAAGCACATGTTTGACGAATCACAAGGTGTACACTGACAAACAGTCAGTATGATTTATGCCATCAAAGCATGTAACCACACCACAGACAAACAGACCACGCTCAGCTGGCTAGAGACCAAACGTGACTGCTTAGAGCAGACTATGCCATCTTTCAGCAGTAGAACAACAAGCAGCAGTGTGGGACACCTAGTGAATCTATATGTTGTCTCATGACTTACACTCCTATTAAGAATTCAAGAAGATCAAGTCCTAGAAGACCAAAGGATCACATAGGATGAGATGAGTGGGTCCAAGTTCATTCCCATGGCATTTAAAGTAGTACACTTCCTCATGTTAACAGTTCATGACTTCCTCCTGTGTGATTCAGGGCTCATCTGCATGTTTTCATTATCTACTCCAATCTGCAGGTGCACTCCAAGGGAATCACAAGTGGGCTGCCTGTGTCTGACAC